CGAAGCCAAAACAAACGAATGACTTATTTTTTATGTAATATTTTAACAATAAATTTTATAATATTTTATACATTATATGCACATTTGTGGAAATTCATTAAAGATTAATCAAAAAATCCTCAATAAAAGTATTCATAAAACAAAATATAACAATTTGTATTTTAGTTACGGCAAGAAAGAATTTTTGTACATTGTGGGACTTACCAGTATACATATACTATACATATATATACTCGTATATATAAATTCGATTTATATTGAACCCGCATATAGTTCATTTCACATACAAACAGATTTGACTTACATCATTTCGTTTGAAGTTTGTATTTGTTTAGTTCAAATATGTAATATTATTCAAACTACACGCCGTATGGAAATGTGTACATACATTATACCTACCTGTACAAAGCATTCAATTTTTTATTTTAATGTTCTGCAAACATTTCAATACATTGCACGATTTCAGAGAAGCGTTATTTTCAAATTCATATACGACATAAAACGTGTTTTTGACTTTTATATTCCAAATGAAATGTTTATGTTATAATGTAGGTTTCATATTGTGTTGGGATTTAAGATTATTGCAAAATACATTAGTATAGGCAGTACAATTTTCAAATAATGTTAAGTATTTTTCGACAGCTGCTAAATAATTTGCTCTATTCGCTAAAAAATAAAAAATAGATTTGTCGAATTTTTGAGAAAAACAAAGATTACCCAGAAGAAACAAAGTTCGGTGGTGACACTTTACAGTCTTGCTAGTCGTCCCCAAACGATGGGGTCAACAGTTGCTTTTATGTAAAACTATTATAATATTGTAGATGTATGTGTTTCGATAAAATATAGAGTCTTTTTTAAGAAGCCAGCTAGATCAGTGTTGGACGTAATTGATTACTTTATTATATGTTTAAATTATATCATCGTTTAATAATTTTTTACAACAGTAATCATGATTGTATTTGTTTTATGCTATCTTAAGGCTCTACTACAAATTATGTAGTACATAATTTATAGCTTGATATATAATTAACGTACTTAGGTGAAGCTAGATATTTTAAAACACTGATAGTAAGAGTTATCGCTAGTTAAAAATTCAAATTATTGTAATCATACCATATGACTATATACTATGCTGATTAATAGTTATATTAATTTAACATTATGATTACTGATTGTAATCATTAATAAGTAATTAAATTACAATTTAACCTAAACACTATAAAAATGTTAAGACGTGTATGTATGTCCCTCAAGGTCTGCAATCTAAAATAAATAAATGCTGGCATAGCATATTGATGTCGATGACTTTATGTTTGTGCTGATCTTTTAAATTTGAGTAATTCGGCAGATTTTTGTTTGGCCAATTAGCCAGTTAATTAATTGCACGTGCATAGTGTACAAGTAAAACATTATAATGTTTTAGTTTTCGACGCTAATTTATACCGGCATCAGATATAAAAGTACATGTTGGGGGGGGGGGGATGGCAATAAAGGGAAATTAAACGAGTGCCCGAATAAAGGCGGAAGGGATGTTTTTTGCTTTGAACAAAGAACGTGCGTTTGAATGGCTCCGGACCAACACATACACCGTCTGGAGGGCTTAATTAGCCTATTGGATTGATTTGCTATATCGGGTTTACGATTTTCGTTGGCCCCGAGCCAGTAAACACTCGCCGTCTCCATACAGAAGAACGTTGCCCATTTGGCTCGGTTATCGATATCAGACCTCACCCCGTCCCCTCTTCGGCAGTGACTATAAACTATAATCAAGTATAGGCGACATATATTTTTTTTTTTTAAATAAATGTATTTCTTATCATGCCGTAAACGAACTCAACGACTAACGGCGTGTATACCGCGGTAGTAGCGAGCTTTGCGACTGTTGATGGACGGATTCGGGGCCAAAGACCATTTTTCGTTTTCTCCCGGTTTGTGGTAGGCCCTCATGTCCACGATGTTCTCGTTGAGCGCCCCGATGGTGAACATAAAGCTTAACCACAGCGCCGTCACGTCCGTGATGGGATTGCCGCAGATAAAGAGATTGGCCATCTTAACGGGCTTTCGGATGAGCGACTGCAATAAAACGATAGCGCCGGCGTCGGTTATTCGGTTGTGTGACAAGTCGAGAAACTCGACCGACGAGCCGGTCAGTCCACGCGACAAAAATCTGTAACCAGACCAACGTAATAAAAATGATGTACATATTATTTTTGTGTTACACTCCAAGAACGTCTGTCAGCAGTTATTGTGAAAACTGTTCAAAGTATGGACATTTAAAAGGGGTCAGGTCAAAAGTGTATGACAACATTCATTTAAAATTTGTATTTACTGCGATTAATGAGGTTTTAATGAGCCAATCCATGACGATTGCCACTAACCTAATCCCGCCGTCGGTTATCTGATTGTGGTCTAGGATTAGAGTGTGCAAAAGGCTGTTCCCCATGTAACGGCTCAAGACGTCCATGCTCGTGTCCTTTATTCGATTGCATCCGACGTCCAAGTATTTTATAGCGTTACCCTTGGCCATGTACTCGACGAGCAGCTGGAATCCGTCGTCGGTCATGCCGATTTTTTGTAGATGTATTTCCAATAAGCCGTGGTTGTACACGAATATGTTCCTCAGGGACCGGACGATTTCCTCCTCTCGGTTTCGGCCGTTCAGCGGGTTCACGATTCGGTTCATGTTCAAAGCCCGCAGCGCAGTGTTGGCGTTCTCGTTGTTGTTAGGGTTCAGCGCAATGTCGATGCAAGGCATACAGTCGACAGACATGTCCGTCTCGCCCAGGTCCAAATGCTTCAGGCTAGTGTTGAACTGCAACATTCTTAGCACGGACAAAACGCCGTTAGGGCCAATCTTGTTGCCGCTCAGCCGCAGTTCGCGCAGCCGGAGAAGGTGTCCGACGGTGGACAACGATTTCATCCCGTTCGCAGTGACGGCGTTGTTCATCAGGTTCAGAGTCTGAATATTATTTTCCGCCGCCGTGACAAAGCGGACGATGTCTCGGAATCCATCGTCTCCGACACTGTTGTAACTCAAGTCCAAGTGCCGAATCCTGTTTGCCCTGACAATGTACAGCAGCACCTCGGCGACATCCGAACAGCGTATGTCATTTTGCAAGTATTCCGTTATGGCGGATCTGTTTAAGTTCAACGTGCGTCGATCGTTTTTACCATCTGCTTTGGATATCAAATGGATAATTTCCAAGCTCAGCTTACCGTCGCGTGAGCTTTCGTAGTGACTGTCGTCTGATGTCGAGGTCATGAAAAACCAATTTAATGGGGAATTTTATTTTATTTACTACGAAAAAACGTGTTTTGGTTACAACTGTCACTATGGTTTTAATCGTTCAAAGGGCAATCGTGTTTTTTATATTATATTTTTAGTTGTGTCGCCGTTGAAAAAAAATCTAAAGCTCGTGTGAACCGATTGGAGTGCAGTAGCATTCAACGAAACTGATATAATAAGAAATACAATATGTATTTCTGTTACCATTGTTATATAATCAATGTAGTACAGGATATTGATCGTCGATAACAAAACAAATATATTTTTAATGTTTTTTAAATAGCTTACAATTATCATGATTTAAGGCTTCACGTTGGATTTGCTTTTCAATTTGTTAGCATTGCTAAATTTCTGTTATATTTTTAGTTCTTCGAGTACCTGACAGTTATTTTGAGTAGTGATTTGCTGTACTGCAAATGAACTTTTGTCATAATTGCTTTGCCGTGTAACAAGCCAAAAATAAAAACGACTGAGTGAAATGAATTAGCGATGTTGTAACCCGTTAAAACTGAAAAATATTAAGAATACTGCAGGGGTTTATCGATTAACTGAGCCAATCGCATTATTTCCCTACAAAGAAAAATACTATTAAGCCTCGAATCCGTTCTTGTGAGTTACCATGATAACATTTTCAAAAGTTTCTAAAAAAAAGACAACTTTTAGGACTCTACACAAGTATAGAACTCGCTATTGAACTCGCTCAACAATTTTGCAACTAAAACAAATCCTAAAAAAGTTTTTTTTTTAATAACTGCGTAATTTTCTAACTTTAAAAACTATTTATTAGATAAAAAGATTCATCACTTACCGCAATTTTGTATAGAGACGAACCGTATTGACCGTCACGGGTTGATCGACAGTGAAGTTAATCGTTTACGCGTAGTCGGGCCTAACTTTGTATTCAAACATTTCATAGCTACACATACCTTTAAAATATTGGTCATCACTCGACTGTTCTATGTTAAGGGTGTCGTAAAAAGATAACTAACCATTTGGATTGGTTATTTCGCAATTAGTACAACAATAAGTCTTCTAACGCGCCGAAAACTTAATTACGGTAGTATAATAATTATTGTATCATGACGATAATGTTGCACGCTTTAAATCAACCCGGACTCGGACTGTTGGATATTAAGAGCAATAATTTGTTTGAATATAATACCCGCAAAATGAGGAGATACCGCAGCACCGTACATCACTATACAGGTTAATGATGGCGAGATCCTTTGTGCCTTTTGTCCTGCAAACGTCTATTCCGACATGCTATACGTTAGCAGGATCGTCGCGCTATATATATATATATACAAATAAAATAGTAATAACAATACACGAGTACGCGGAGCTGACCCTTTTAATGCTACTAAATTCCGAATGCCGAGACTAACAATGATAAAAAAAAAAAAATCACTTTTCCGTCCGACCTTTTTTTTTTATCTGCTCGGGTCCTAATTAAAAAATATAACGCAACGACCTGCAACATCGGTTCTGACTTAATCAATTCAGGTAGGGTAAAAATAAATAAAAAAACCAGAAAGAGGAAAACAAACGAGGGTGTTACCTGCGTGCCGTTGTTTGAACAAAACAGCAACGTTGTTGAATAATAATGAAAATCAACATCGCCGACGGTACAACCCGACCCGATCAAATCGGTTTTAAAAAAAGATTTCACGATCAGTGCACGCATATTCACGTTTGGCCGTTTTGTCTTTTGCAGGCAAATCACACTCCAAAGGATATGTTATGTTCCGGGAAGGATCTCCGGCATCCGAAGGAGTCCGGATGTTTGCCAAGACGGGCCGTAGCGACAAACTGGACGACGGCGGAGGAGGGGAAGAAATCATTTTCGACACTTTTGTAGCGCCGAGTGTGCCAACCGGAGCTGCCAGAACACAAGCGCAATTCTTTGTCGATGGAAATCATTCCAGAGTGAGTTACGGCCAAAATTAATTACATTTAAGTCGTCCACTTGTCTTTACTTCTGGCGGCAAAACCACACGGTCTTTCCATTTAATTATTATTATGTCATGGCGGTCAGACCAACTTGCGTACACACCCATGCAGCACAAGTATGTCGTCAGGGCAGTACTTATAGTAACCGTATAAAATGCGTACAACGGACAGAGAAGAAGTTTAATATCTATGCCGTACCGTTTTTAATTTTTTAATAGCTCAAACGCGATCAAAAATATTTATTAGTAGAGATTCATTTTTTTATAAATAATTATCAAGTTTAGATATCAAAAAAAAATAAAATAAAAACTTTACGGCATAGTTGAAGTTCACCTCACATACTTGTCCCGCGCTAAGCAGTTATGATAAATTGTAATTTATCCTACAGAAATTACTGTGATATTTTGACAAAAAAAAAAAATGACAAACAATTAAGAATCCTCACTAATGTAATAAGTATACGATATAGTTCAAGTTAAGATGTAGCGAAATTGCCTATACGAAACTCCTTAAGAACAGACCGCATCCCCTTAATTGGTGTTGACGTATGAAATAATTAACAACGACATATTATTATTATATTACTTTACAAAGCGTTCGGTGTAAGCCATTTTTTTTTTAAACTCTATTTAAAACTAAAACTGTTTTGCAAATTTATCAGAACATCATTGAAGAATGCTTTATTGGTAATTATGTTTTTATTGCACTATCGCAGTCTTCGTTAATAACGGTTTTCTAAAAAAAACATACACTTTACCGGAAATTCTGATAGATAATATTTTCTTAGCTTTTTGAAAAGACGGGATCCGCTCGCAGAGTTTCTTTTTTTATTATTTCAAAAGTCGTTACTTAAGTTTTCAACATATACGTCTTTTTATTAAAGTCCACATTATGTTTGCACGGAAAATATGTCCACAGAGATGTAAACAGAGAATATCTTAAATTTGTCTTGGAAATAATAATGACAAAAACTGTAATCTCAAGTATAGATATCCATTATCCACTGCATTTTTATCATTGAAACAATAATAGTATTCTGATTCATATTAGATATTGTATTTTATGTATAATGGTTGTTATGTACGTTCATGTTAAATGTTATAAGATATTATAGCATTTATATATTGTGCATTTGAGATGTTTTAAATTAATTTTTTTTCTATATGTCGGATGTATTCTATTTGAGAAACACAACCACCCACACTCGCATGCAATGTTTTCAACATAAATCACGGTTAACTATTCTATCGTGTATGATCTTAATAAAGTTTCACAAACATTGCGACATCGACCAAGTCACTTCCGCGTGTGTACACTGAGTAACGCAAATATAGCGAATTAGCTCTATACGAGCTTGTTTGAAGATAAACTCAAATTTTCTTTGATCCTCGGTTGTTTTCAGTTTAATGTGTGCTACAAATTCTAGTCATGACTTTGTAAGTTGGAAACAAGCAAAGCAACTATACGCTGGCATTAGTACTTTTAAAATACTTCTTATGAAACTCACTCGGAATACAAAATAATTCTTTTGGGTTAACCAATTCGTGGAATGACACTTGTGGTTATTAAGAATATTTTTTTTAATATTGAAATTTCCGCACAAGCGACAAATAGTACATAATATAATATATATATATATTTTTTTTTTTGGAGCTCGGCTGTTTTTCAATTAGCTGAAGTTGTTGTGATTTTCTGGCAAGCGTTTAATATAATATATTTTTTTGTATCACACGCGTTGGTCGTAAGAAAGCAAACAACGCCAATTTCATTGACAAGAACATTTTTTTTTTAGCTCTGTGCGCTAATAGAGTTTTTTATGTTACTTATAAATAACCAATATTGTATTTCATTTATTACTTTTTTATAGAATTGATACAAAATTCATAAGTCTAATAATTAATTACCTAGATATTTTTATTTTACATAATTTATCTTATTTTTTAATTTGTTTTTCTTTATGTTCGTCGTTTGGTTAAACAATTTGTATTGTTTTTTAGAAAGTTTAAGCGACTAAATCTTATCGAATAAATGTCTACCTACCTATTATCTAATCCCGAATGAGGGCAGCCATCTTGTTGACATTCTGTTAGTATTACACCTTGGTCTGTATGCAATATAGTCCATTGCACAAGGATTTGCAGATTCCGAGTATCTACGACCCTATCAGAAGCCTATTCGCCAACTTTCACTACTATTCGCTTATCGTATTTCTTCAGGCGGCAGTCGATCTTTACTGTAAGGCAGACGAGGTTTAAAAGACTTATTTTACACATAATATTTATTAGTATTATTTTTGAAAACTTTCTATAATTGAAAAGCTACTTGAAAAGTAGTCGGAATTATTTTCATATTTTTTTTATGAGAATATATATAAATATAGAATATTTCTATAAAAAAAAAAAAAAACAACAAACAAGATAAAAGTGTAGCCAGCAGTGTTTAAAAGGTGACTTTTATCTATATAAACATTTAAACAAAAACGTACTTAGTTTTCAAAGAACTTGACACTTTTCTTTTACTCGAGTCATACGCTCCAATACAATGATGATTTCCAACGATAACGTTGTTCGTCGCTATTCTATTGTACATTTTATAAGACTCTATTCTTAAGAAAAATTTATCAACGTTCTCAATAAAAATATACTTATTGTCGGTTCACTATAAAAGTATTTACAACCGAACGCCATAGTCGAATTCACACATTTGTCGGTACTCTGATGGACTTGGAAGTAATAATGTTAGTGTGGACACCAGAATGATTGTAACTACGAGGTAGAATAGAGTGCATTAAGAGGATGCCACACCACTTATTTTTTAAGGGCATTTTCTGCAAAGTCTTAAATTAAACCTTTAACTATATGGTGTTTATTTATTAATACAGTCATGAGGATTCTTTGTTGGTGGTATTTTTTTGTCAGACTTCCGCAGCCACTCCTGTAGGAGAAATGGAAAAGTTATGCGACAAAACCTTTGGTCGTACTTTAAATATTTCCGAGTAGGCCTACAAAAATAAAAGAATTTACGCTCAAAAAATGATAAGTTTAACTATATTTTGACGATAACCAACCGCGAAAAAAATAACTAAATATAATTTAAAATAAATTAGTATAAAAATCATTTTGGACTGAGCAAATTATAAATAATATATTGCTATAACGTTTAACGGGCAATGTTGTATAGCAATAGGGTTTCAAGACGTAGGCAATAGTTGACTTTTTATAGTAACTTTATTTGTGCCCCCTACCGGCAATGCTTTGCCACGGGGAACACAGTGTAGTTGCTTCTGTTTTAATTTGATTAATCGCCGAGCTCGCGAGGTTGCGGTTAACGGTCGGCCCGAGCCAGTCGGCCAACAATAAGGGATGAGGTGGAGAAGGCAAACGGGGAGTAGAATGGCAGGGGTGAAGGTTTTATCATTATTAACGCTGAGCTTAATAATAATTGAGAAGAAGCATCCTGCATTTATATATATATACATACAAACCGACCCCACGAGTAAAGAATAAACGACGAAATTTTCGGCAAACTTAATTAACGAAAAAAGGTGCCGCCGTCATAATTCCTCTTGACAAATGTGACTTTTTAACTGAAAAAAAAAAGTGTTTTTTTTTACTACTCACAATAAATATTCCTCCGCAAACATTTCATAAAAACGCGGTTACCGATATATCTACAATTATTCGGGTAAATCGTGAAGCGCTTTTATACAGTAGAGTGATTTTATATACATATACATATAAACCCATATTGAACACAATTCAATTATTCGCGTTTTAAACTTACATCGCGCCGCGCTGTTTGTATAAATTATTTTTCGAACATTTTTTCCCCTTCTTTTCTTTTAATAACAATAACAGTTTGAAACCGTTACTCCTCGTCCAGGCCGTATATCCGTCGGCTGCGCTGGCAATTTGATTATAACAATATATAGTACGGCAACGCCGAGCAAGACTTAGGAGGGAAAAAAAATACAAGCATCCGGCATTTACACGGTCTCTGCAATAATTGCACGGTTTATTTCCTTCAGGACCCGCAGGATACACGGGAATTAATTTTCCGCCGATTACCCGACGTCCCCGGTCTCATAGCAGCAGTGTCGGTGGGGAGGGCGGGGGCGGTCGGGTATAATTGAAAAAATCCACAAGAGAATCATCGCGAAAAATCGTAAAAGTTACTTACGGCCGTTTACGCCGTATTGCAAACACGTATACTGTGTGTGTGCTGTCCTAACCGGCGAGTAGCTGTTGTTGTTCGCCAAGTGAATGTGTTCTCTGGTCCCGCTTAATTCTTCCGCTGACATCGCCGTCCGGTATATATATATATATATATATATATATATAGTCAACTTTGTGTACCCTATCTCCTGTCAGGCGATAACGACATCACGCGCCTATGGAATGATATGGTATTCTAGTGCAATACCGGCTCGTTCCGTTTACCTGCCGGCGAAACCCACTTAAACGTGTCGCTCGAAAACACCTACGAAACGAAAAACGGGATCCAATTTTGTTACATAATCGTTTTCCGCACAATTGTTTTCGCGTAACACTCTAAATTAGTGGCAAACATTTAGTACGAATTAGGAAGGCGTCAAATGGGAGGGGGGATCTACATTTAAATACATCAATCAAGTACCAGGGGTTCTAATATGTTTGTATGTTAAGACATATCGGCCGTGTCCCTATATGTACTTGCGTGCAGCGGAAGTACTAGTTTTAGACGGCTGATAGATTTTGGCTTTGCATTGGCATCTAACGTTCCTAGTACCTAGTTACTGATGCACTTCATTTGACATCAATCAATGATAATACACCATGATAAAATAATAACCAAGTTTTCACAATAGCTATATACATAAAGTTGATATAGCGTTGATAAGTTCACGAGTAACAGTACTACCGTTGAAACAGTACAAGTTTTAATATAAAAAAAGAAAAAAGAAATGCAGACATTGAGTGACCGAAATCGTTGGGTACATTATTGCATTTTTGCTATAACTATTGATCAAACAGGGAAGCAAAAAGTTTCAAATTAAAATCTCAAAAATATAGAGAATTTTTTTTTTTTTTTTTATTAACCGCCGTGCAGGCTCCGTCGAAAATTCCATTTAAGGAATACCTATTTTTTAAGCAGTAAATTATAGGCAGTTTTATGACGAAACTATTGACACAAACCATTGTATACGTACCCACGTTATATTAACAAAACAAAGATAAATGTTTGTATAAGACATTATTAAAAGATTTATAACGCTAACAGACAAGCGTTTTGTTGTGCTATTTTATTTACCCTCTACAAGTCTCGGAAGTCATAAGCATTGCAATATCCAGACGCTTATATCTCTGTTGGGAAATACCTTATCCTGAGAATATACCATGTAAATAATATGTAGTTGCGAACGCTTAATATTTAATTTTATTTCTGGGTACATTTGCGCGGGCTAAAATTGCTCAGATTCCCAGAAAAAAGTACAGCAGCTAGGAAATGTTTTGCGTTTCAAAAGTGTTACGACTTACCCCCTTTTAAAGTTTATTCACTCTGAAGTCTGATATTCGTTGTATAGACCCTGCACTGCGTCTTTATGTATTGAGACCATCTGGGCCTTTATTTGGACTAGCTGTCTTGCCACGGCCGTGACAATATTATACTACAACGCAAGCCCTGCAAATCAGTCTCAAATCACGGACAGAAACATATTTTTGTTTGAACACCTTAGTTATAATGGTAGTTGAGCGAGATTTTTTGAAATTTCATCGGTGAAAAATATTTTAAGGATAGGGTGATCCTTAAATACTTACAGATAAGGAAAAATATAATATAATCGTTAATTAATGTTACTATTTTTTAGGTGTCTCTGATGTCTCGTATGATTCCATCGCCCGATTGGTTTGTCGGAATTGATTCATTTGATCTGTGCGTGAACGGAAACTGGCTGGACAGCATCACAATAGAAGTGAGTATCTGTATGTGTTACTATTACCTATAGTATAGCTCCGATAACACAGTACACGCAGTAATCGGCGCTGAAGCTATGTACATATATGTACTTTGCTTTTAAATTTTAAACTTCCTCGCGAATAAACTTTTTAGGTTATCTTAAAAAACATCCAAAATGAATTTCACAAAGTAAATATTATGTACAATTTATACTTAAAAAAATACATTATAAGCTAGCTAGAATTTGTAAAATTAAAAAAAAAAAAAAGTTGCTCGTTTACATTAAATCAAAATATTATTCTTAATTGGCCAAAACCATAAATTTCATGTCTAGACTCTTTAAATGTGGGTAGGAACGATATTAAGAGGCGCCTGATGAATACAAAAATATATTCTTAAGTGTTAAATGTACATGTAGTTAATCCGAACCGAGAAAAAACTCGACAACATATGAGCGTTTTAACGACATTAACACATTTTTAATTATAAATTAATTTCGTATTTATTAAAGTAATAATTTTTACAAATGTGTTGAAACCGAACGTGAAATCGTGACAGAAATATGTATGGCGAGGTCGTATTTTGTATATTAACGTGTACAAGAAAATCTTAAGCCCATTTCATTTGTCATCGCCTCGTTTTCTGTACATTCACGGGTGTACATGTAGTGTGCACTGTATATTTTAGACTCGGATGTCAGCCAATCTTCTGTAAAATGCGTGAAACCGTGGAAAATGACATATTTAAAAAAAGATTGGCTCGGAAACATAAAAAACCAGAAAATCATGTTTTTACTGAACGACCCAAGTTGTTTCAAATGAGTATTGTACCATCTAAACTTTATCTGGCCTGCATATTATATGCAATTTTGATGAAAATGCCTTAACTGTGTTAAAAATTCATAAAACATTTTTGTCAGCTTGTTTTTTTTTCTTCACCGAACGCATTTTGTATTTTGGACATAAACTAATAAAATATATTCAACCTATCGAGTCAAAGGCAAAAAATATTTAGCACTTAGTCGGTTTCTCCTTTTGTGTTTCACTATAAAAAAAAAAACCTAAAATTAATTTTTTTTCTTTTGTTTATAAAAAATACCAAGTATAGATAACAAAAGAAATTAAAACGATAGATAAAGATTTTGCCTATACATTGTGAACATTTTTAATTAATCAACTGCTATAATGCTTACATACATGTCCCGCGCAAAGCAGTTTTGATGGAAAAAAAATTGTAATTTATTCTATAGAAATCACTGTGGTAGTTTGACAAAAAAAATTGGCAATCAATTAAGAATCCTCATTACTGTATTAATAGGTATACACTATAGGTCAAGATCTAAATTAAGATTTTGCCAAAAGTTGCCTATACTTTACTCCTTAGAAATGGGCTGTGTAGAAAGACTGGACTAAAAATGTACGAGTATATACTATATACCACACAGTACACTAAATTATAGTACAAATTACTGTGATAAAATGTTATAGACTGTATAGAGCCAATACATTTTTTGTTTTGTTTTTTGGAATTTTCACATTATTTATGACATGTCAGTTGTACAGTTTACACCGTCCTGGGATGTTTGCGATAGAATTGTATGTACCTAGACAGTTCAAACCGTGAATATAAAATAAAGGGCGATATTTTATTGTACAATGTATAATGGGTTGATTCGCCGTTGAACAGTTTTTTTCCCCATATTAAAATGTACTAATGTACACAACAATGATAATATTTTCAACGTTTCAGGCTGATCCGATGGACGCTGGATGCGACAACGGGTTCACTTTTACAGCGCCTAATTGGCCAACCGACCCGCAGGGCATTATTTACCGGATAAAGAGCAATTACCCTTCGCACCCGGCCAGCTCGTTTTACTATCCACAACTCAGCCGGCTGCCCACCATAGCCACGTTCCAATTCATAAAAGTGAGAATCAATATTGCACAATCGCTGCGCACACTGCAAATTACAATTATTATTTATATTATTCGATGAATGTTTTCTTCACGCGGTCAGATTAAAGAATACGACCAATCGTTGGGCGGCAGGGGACAAGCGTCTGATCCTACGGTGAAGATCGAGGAAAGCGTGATCAAAGTGTTGAACGGCGACACGGACAGCGACCGGGAAGTTCAATTGGAAATGGAACAACAAAGACGGGAACAGGAATACAACAACTATAAGAGGTAGTAAGAAATGATTGTTGTCGACCTAAATTTAATCATGTAACAATATATTATTATTGTTGGCAACGGTCGTCTCTATAGCTCAATGTCATAATAGTATAATACAATCACTTTACTGCGTGTTTAAACGTTGCCGGGATTGCCAAAAGATGACTGATGAGATGAGCAACGATCCCATTAATCGGTTAATAATTAGGTATTCATAAAGTTTTAACGAGACTACGCATGCGGTTGATCTACTTAACGTTATTCGAAAACCCTGAGCTCTCTTATTGTATGTATTTAAATCTAGAACAAAAAAAAAAGGCACTAATTGATGAATAAACAGGTATAAATTCCATTTTTAAGATCCCTAAAATTCATAACAACTATATTTAAACAAAACTATCATAAGCGTTTTTCTAATAAATGAACAGTTATTTACAAAAAAAAATGTAATATATACATATTTATAAACAAATTATTGATTCCAAAGTTCATTGAAATAGATTTTTTATTTTTAAAGAAGTTATTGTCGTGTTTTTTTTTATTCGCCTTATTTACCTACCCTGACAGTTAATTTTAATATTAACAAAATGTAATTCGTTCAATTTTTAATCGCTGCATTTTATTTCAAAGGGTTAGTCACCATATAAGGTCAGATTAAAACTATTATCATCAGACATCAACGTATAGGATTATTTTTAATTAAAATCTGTTTATGACACTACCGAGCTTAAGCGGCTGATGCTTGCGTCATCATATACTCAAATCATAATGTTCATCAACGGATTTTGTGTTAAAATAATATATATATATATATATATATATCAAAGTTCAGAATTCAGACAGATTGGAAATTTAAACGATTTATATGTACGTTAAGCAGGTCGATTATACTCCGGTAAAAGCTTAATTAAATCGGTAGCAATGTGTGCGTTTTCATTAACCTTACCCTGCGCCATATTCATTTGTCAATTTACATTGTTTTATTAGTATTGGCGATAATCAAGTCTCCGTTGCCAACGTCACGGCGCCGCAACTCGTACCGAAAACCAACAAAGACGCCCTTTTGGACAGCATCATGATCAACAGTTATCCCGTCCGAAAACATAAGAAACTACACAAGAAGTCGAGTAAGTCGATTTTCTCGACTCCGTGTAACAACTAACACACGTTTCCGGTTTTGCTAGTCAATTGATTTTTATAATAATCAACCCCCCCGTGACCGCGGTTTTACAGGGTACCGCGATTGTCGAGTGAGCGATTGGTCAGAGTGGAGTGGCTGCAGCGTTTCTTGCGGCATCGGCGAAATGCAAAGGAGGCGAGAAGTCATCAAACATCCGAGGGGCGCCGGTCGACAGTGTCCGCCTTTGTTGGAGACCAAATGGTGTGGGAGTGCAAGAGACTGTCCTCAGGCGCATTTCAACACGTGGTAATCCACAAGCACCGACCTCGATGTTGTCTATATATACATATATATATATTATAATAATCAATGTTGTCCTTTCCAACAGCTGTAAAAGCGATCATTTCTATATGTATAGGTAATATTATTTTGCTCTTCGACCAGCGACTTTTTTTTTTTTTTTAATGTACCACCTACTCTAGGTTTAAACGTTCTCTTGTTCCCTCTGAAAATGCGAGAAAAAAAAATTGTGTAAAAATTGTCTGTAAATTATTGACTTGTATAAAATATAGGATATAATATATTATAAGTAACAATTAATATATCGAACAAATTATTATAATAATCAATAAAACTTATACTGACGTAGTTTAAAGCTTTTTTGGGGGCGAAGGAAATTCATTTTTATTTTTATTTTGTGTGACAATTACTGCAACGGGTCTCTGTATACAACTTGAAATATTAGACTCGGCGCTTATGATATTTATTTTAAGACCTTTGGCAACATATTTATCGTAATTAGTTATATTATAGATACGAGCGTGTGTTATTTATCTAGAAGACGATTTATTCTGATAAAAATGTAGTGACGCGAGTTAAAATGCCAGTATTTTTTAAATTTCTTTACATTTATTAAAATATACCTAAATAGTACCTAATAAAAAAAAACAATTACCATTAAAATAGTACAAGTATGTATATTTTTATCAGAATAAAGTGATATTTCAAATATTTAACGTTCAGTATAGGTAATATATTATATCATGTGTAAGTAACGGATACCTACCGGTAAATATTGAACAAATATACATTTGACATAATATTATATTATTATTTATAAACGTAATAAGTATTTTTAGTTAGACGACTTTTGTAAGTCGGAATTCTATCATGTGTACCGCAGTTTAATTTCATATTCGTTAAGTGTTAGAATACACAACAACTTGTATAAAATTACAAAATTAAAAATTTCACAATTGATTATAATGTTTCGAAATTGTTGTACAATCAATCGACTGGACTAGAATATTTCTCATGCTTTTATTTTGAAAATATAACATTATATGTTTTTGCGCTGCAGTCTTTTTCTGTTAATAAAAACCATGACGTACAACCTGTCGATAAATAATACATTCATATGAATCGAGTTTATATCCATACATATTATATATTATTATTACTATAAGTAGGACTCGAGCTGTTGTATCGTCGTATTATTAAGTATTTGAAACATGTAACTGTACTATTAGTATATGTATTCATACATATTGTATGTGTTGAAGATGAAAAATTGAATGTAATGTTACAAAACGGAATAAAATGGAAATGCGCATGAAAAAGTGTGATTGGAAAATGTTTGATGTAAAATATAAAAACGAATAACGATTCACCTTCTTCTAATACTATAGAGTATAACTCTATCGTACAAAAAAAAAAAAAAAAAGGAAACTCATTGTGTTATGTACCTATGTATGATACTTATGTAGGTGTTATAAATGTTGTAGTATTATGCATGAATCGTTGTTGTCGGTCCTTTCGTCATAACTCGGGTTGGATGCAAACACAATTATCGTGATTGGCAACGGATTGCGTTATTATATTGAGTTTAATCTGCTACGAATAATACTCAGACTAATTGAATTATATATTATGTAAATGAAATACAACCGTAACGTGACGTTAAAGGTACCTACACATGTTCTCCTACATTGCTCGCGCTTTGTGGGCAGGTAACGTCAGATAAAAGGCGCAAACTAATCGCGACAACACCGTTCTACCCTTATGCTTGTTCATAATATTAAGTGGAAAAAAGGATCCACCGAGTACCTACATATTATATAGGTGAATACTGCAACAGCTAGTTTTTTTTTTGTAAATCTCTGTAATAGCACGAGCCGTTAGTACACCGCTAGTGTAAGTGTTAATCACTGATGTCTTAACCAGTAGGCCAAGCTTATGTTTTTATTAAGAGGGCGTCGCACCGGTGATTTTCAGTGGTAAAAACATGTTTAAACAGACTGAAAATAACTCGTTTAATTTTGGTTTTAGAGTAAAAGTACCCATTATAAAATTTAAAGAGAACAATATTCCGGAGGGCAAGGCGGTGCGATTTTAAAAAAAAAAAATGATTTTTTGAAAAGTTACAGTCGTTTAAAAATGTTAAAATAGTCGTTACTTCTAAACTATGTATTGAGCGTTATACTTGGAATAATGAAGAAATTCAAAACTACTAAAGCACTCTACTAGGGACGTCGTAGTGGACTAATTTGCATTGCCATAATACCGAGAGACTACTGCGAAAACGGGACTTAACCCATCGGTTTACTTAAACTGCCAACATCACAAAAAGACAATACATAATATCAAAAAAACCGTGCGATTAAATTCGGCAAAGTGTAGGTATAATATTTTTGGCAAATTATTTCCGGCCCAAAAACGGAATGCAGGAACAAAGAAACGACTGTCTCTCTGTGTGCATTCGGTGGCTTGTATACGTTTGACAAACAACTGGGCTTCCCCTTTCACAGTCGTCTCGGTATTATGGCAATGTAAATTAGGGTACTATTTTTGTTTACAAGTCACCACCGCCCCCGTATACGTTGTTATTTAATACGTGCACCGTCTTATGTACCACTGCCGGTTTGTTCGAATCAAACAGCTACAGTTGAGCAATACAAAACATCACAACTAAAAAAAGTAGGATGGTAAAAAAGGTTAATAAAATATGCGAATTGAGTAGTACATCTATACACGGTACATGTAGTACTAAAAAATACAGGTAGTTGTTTTTTTAATTTTTTTTTAATAGCTTTTAATGATGAAACATGACGGCTCAACTATTACAAACTAGACATGTCAAAATAAACAAATCAATGAAAATGTATATGCACAAAGAAAAGAGAAAAAAAAGCTGTACAATAGGTACAAACGAGTGTAATATAAGTGGACTATTTTAGTACAAAAAAAAAAGCAAAAAGTAGAAAAAGTAATGACCTAAATAGTGCAACCAGCGCTCGAAAGGAAGGAAATAGTAGCAGTAATGATTGGAACTGAACGGAAATGATTAAGGATGTTATAAGGACCAGGACATCAGGTAGAGTTACATACAGATACTTGACACGTGTATCAATATCAAATTGTTTCGATACAAATTGTAAGTAATTGTAAATAAATGAAACTATACAACTGTTTCAAAGTAAAAAAAAACAGTTAAAAAATGTATCATTTTATTTCAATTAATGTAATTTGTACATTTCTCTCAAATCTGACTTATATTTTTTACCGTGATCGTGTTTTACGCTATGAAAAACAGGGAAAAGTGGTGTATTATCACTGTAGACCACATCAAAATAATTATTAGCTTCATTTACTTAAATGTGTTTTGAACTAGATTATAATTATTATCAAAATTTTAAAATCAAATTTATTTACCAATAAAACATAAAGTTTTACGACATATTTTGCATTAGTGAAAAGAGTGACATTCTAGAATTGTGTAAAACAAACCCTATTTAAATTGTAAACTGAGAAATACTGAAATGCGAATCCATTTTTGCTGCATACATTCTACCGTTTTATTTTTTACTAAGCGTTTTTGTTTTTTAATATTTAATATTTGTTTACTTATTTCTAGCCTAAATATGCACTGCTACCTAGCGGTTACTCTTCGAGTTGTTTTATCAGGCAATATCACCGGCGCGCTTAGAAGAAAGCATAAAACCCTTAGAATAAATTTAATGATAATTTAAATTTATTCTATGATAAAAACCATTTCAGCTGATAAGAACGAATGCATTATTTTTTTCACATAACGTAACAATATAATATTATTATACAATTTTAATACAATATGATTTTGTTTCCTCAATATTGTTGTTATTGATTGTGTGATGATAATAATGATGATTTGTAACAAATAAACAATAGTATGTATTAATTGTAAACAAAAAACAATATAGGCGCAATGCCAACAATGAGAAATAAATGTAGTAATAAGTAATAATAATTATACCTTTGACAACGATCATTGACGGCAAAATTTCAGCGGTTTGTTCAGTCTTTTTCCACCACAAGTGATCTACCATCTGAGTGTTTACAAGCATCGCCAAATAATTGTAGTAAGTTTTAAAGTGTAACATTTTTGCCGTTGTTTCAAAAACAATTGTGTTATTTTTATTTGAAATAAATTATCTAACACTGTTGTTATAACTTAGTGTGTAAAACCAAATAATGAATGGAGTGTTACGGTTTTAAAGTATGCCGCTAAAATTTTGGTCGTTCCTTGGAATCATAGCTAAGATTTGTAGTAAAGCTACGATAATTTAATATTAATGTTGAATATTGAAATAAAAGGTGTTTTGTTAGTTTATTGGGTAAACAAAAACATTTCCCATAGTTAAATTTTTTTTTTCTTATAATACCTAGCCACTAACCCAAAGTACTATAACTGGAACTCGACAATTATTGTTTTTTTAAATACTTATTCGTATACTTATACAAATATTCAACAAACACATTAAAATTTGAAGAAAAAAAAAAGATTACAACATTTTGTAACAGCCTAAACTCCTAAACTAACAAAATTAAAAAATGCCTAAATTATTTTTTTTTAATATTTGTATTATATAATATATCATGTATTTTTGTAAAAATTAAACTCTTTGAAAATTTGCTATCAATTATACAATATTCAAGCAGTTTTAAATGTCTTAATAATTAATAAACATTAGGAAATAACCACAGTTTTCGTTGGGTAACAAACTAAAAATAATTTACGTTATTATGCAATTATGTACGTATGCAATGCATTTAGTTTCATAATGAAATAAAATAAAATACATTTGTGCAATACACAATAGATGTATTAGTGCTTTGTATATACTAACTTGATATAAAATTAGTATAAAAAAGTAAATATAAAGTAAAACACAAAATAATAAGTATAAAGTCAAAATAAATAGTCGAAGATTTTATGTGAATTTTGAGAGCGAACAATCCGATATTGTTTATTATTTATGTCAAATTAAATAAATTACGTTATTTTCTTAACAAGAATTAGCTTTAATACCTTATCAAAAAATTAACATTTGGCTATAATTAAACTATAAGTAATAAAATGATATTAGCATTATCAATATGAACAGTTAATTGCTTACAAAAAATGTACGTATTTTATAAATTATATTATTTTTATTTCAAAGCTTAAACATAATTTTTATTAAATAAATATATATTTTTTATACTATTTACACAATTTGCGGATACTCCCACTTGAGTAGCTTGATTTGTCTGCCAACGTTTCGGAACACTTGCACGTTCCATCATCAAATATATTTTGCTTAAAAAAATTGTTGTTTTAATTAAATTAATATATTTTCTCACTAATGTTGTTTATTTTATTGTTTTTGAGGAAGATCTAATTTATATCAAATGTTTTGTTTATTATTTTAAAATATGTTAATTTATATTCCTTTTTCTTTTCTTTTCAGAAATGGCGTTGCTCTATAAACATCTCGGTGGTTCGTGTAAATGTATCTCATCATTATACAAAGATCGCATGATAATACGCAAGTTTTCCCAATATGTTTCACAACAACATACTTACAAAATTTCTGTTGCACGATACTCGATCAAGCCATTTCGTTGTTATACTACGGACAAAAATGATGAGAATTGCAATACAAATGACAACAATTTAAAACAAGAAAAACCACTAGTAGAGGAGAAAGAAAAAGAAACGCTGTTCAAAACTGTACCCGTTAAAAAAGTTTTGGATAAAGTAAGTCTCGAAAAAGATTTAGACAGAGTGCAGAGACCGGAAAAATCAGTCGATCGAAATTACATCACTGCCAGACGCGCTATGACAGAGTTTTTGTTGAAATCGACTGATCTCGAAGGTCTTAAAACCATAAAAAGAAGATCTCCATTTGAAGACGAACCACCGATTAATGTTTATTGGCGTAAAGATGTCGTTGCCAAAGCAGCTGAAGTATGGGGTTCTCAAGAAGGCGTTTTAACACAACTGATTAAAAGAGAAATAGAAAGGAAAAAGAAGCAACAAACAATGTTCACGATCAAAGCTAGTCGTAGGACTAACAGGCGACAAACTTTAAACAAAAATGATCTCAAAACGCAAAAGTCGTCTGGTCTTTTTGGTGATTCGGGCCGTGTTGTTTTAACTGCAGTTTTCATAAACGGTATGAACACGGTGTTCAAGGCGTTAGCGTGGCTGTACACCGGAAGTCACAGCATGTTTTCCGAATGCGTTCATTCAATGGCCGACACCATAAATCAAGTGATTCTCGCTTTTGGTATTTATAAATCCGTCCAGATCGCCGACTCTTATCACCCGTATGGATATTCTAATATGAAGTATGTCGCTTCGTTAATATCCGGAGTGGGCATATTTTGCATTGGTTCCGGTCTTTCCATATACCACGGCGTAACCGGAATTATTCACGCCGAGCCATTGGATTCATTATTCTGGGCGTATTTCGTGCTGGGCGGTTCGCTAATAACAGAAGGAGCAACGTTGGCAGTGGCCGTTAATAACATCATTAAACGTTCTCGAGAATCTAAAGTAACTTTTTTGCAGTACGTTCTACGAGGTCACGACCCTACCGTCAATGTGGTGCTGCTGGAAGATTGTGCCGCCGTCTTGTCCATAGGCGTTGCCACTGTTTGTATGTCACTGACGTCCTACCTAAACACCCCATTGCCAGACGCCATCGGATCGCTGCTTGTTGGTGGAATTTTGGGCACAGTGGCTTCGTTCATTATTTACACTAACACAGCCGCATTGGTTGGCCGTTCCATCAGCCAAGAGTATTTAAACAAAATCAACGCTGAACTGGAATCGGACATTATGATACGAGCCATCCACGACGTCAAAGGAATCGACATGGGAAACAGTCTGATTAGATACAAGGCCGAACTGGACTTTGATGGCAGGGAACTAGCCAAACAATACCTTGACCGGTTGGACCCGGTAGCATTGATGGCCGAGGTGAAAGCTATTGAAAATGCCGATTGTGCCGAGGCGTTCCTGTTGAAACACAGCGAAAGCATTATCGATATGATCGGTGGAGAGATCGACAGGATAGAATGGCAATTGCGATCAAAGTTCCCCGAAATAAGACACTGTGATTTAGAAATACTTTAACGATATATAATTATCGAAGTGCTCTTCTCACTGGCTTTTTAATAATACTGCAAAATAATTTATAAACTGTTTTTAAAGTCATTTATTGCAACGAAACAATCTGTATAATAATTCTTTGGCAAACAATTACCTTAACCATTGATAGTTTTGAAATTTTACCCATGTTTAAACGTTTTATTACTAACAACTTACAGAAAACATAAAAATAAACTTTAAATTATTTGTTGCAAAATTTTAATTAGTCCACATTAAATTCCTATTAGATTGGTTTCATTTGTAAATAGCAATTTCATTCCTATTTGACGACTATTGAATGCACAACTTGTAATTATTTATTTATTAGCTAAGCGTTTCTAAAAATGAAGCTGTTGAAGTTTAAATGATGAATATATTGTTATAGCTGTTATTTTATGTATAGGTAATACTAATTAATTTCAAGGTTGACAACTATGTAGATAAAATAATGACCAACATACTTATTATCTAATATATTTATGTTATTCACATTTTATGTTATTATTAATGTTGTTGTATAAAAAAAAAAGTTTAGTTCAATTATAAAATACAAAAATAAAACTGAACTACAATAAAATAATAAGATAAGTTATATATATACACACATTAAATTGATATTCAAATTGTGTATTCTATTTTTTTTAAATTTTACCATGACAATATGCTTAACAAATAACTATTATAACTACTCTAAATAACTAACAGTAAATATTCATTCAAACCTGACCATTGTTTAAATACAAATTCAAATAGGAAATACAAATTTAATTTAAAATTATGGTTATCCAAAAAGCATTATTGCTTGTAAACGTTAAGTTTTATTATAAAAATAATAAATTATAATTAAAAAAAAAAAAATTTATTACATCAATATCAAAAGATTTACTAAGTCGAGCATGATAATAATATATTCATATTTTTCCATAATTATTAAGTTTAAAAACATACATTTTACATAGACAATTTTTTGCAAAAACTTAATTTAATGCTAAAATATTACATAAAATATAATATACCTAGTAATATATATTTTATGTATAATATGACGTGTAAAAATATTACATTATAAAATGTGTGTATTAATTGGGATTTGAAAAATTGTTTTTTTTTTTTATTATTCATTGTACAACTTTTTTGTAAAATTATGAAATTTAAAAATCTCTTCGAGAAGATCTCTAGTATAATTTATTGATCTTTCAATATTGCGACTTGTGCTTATATGCTAATTATTATTTTAGTTAACTTAATTTTTATAAGTTCAAAAAAAAAAAAACAATGAAGTTTTATTTCCTGCTTACACGTTTCGTATTTAAGAGGTTGGAAGCCGTTTGGAGAGGTAACAAACAAATGTAATTTTGTAACTGTCTAGTTTTTTGGCATGTGGTCTGTTATTTGATAAAATGAAATACATTTTTTTATAATTTATGATTCAATTGAATATTTATATAACACAATAGACAATGCGTGGCAACGTGGCCCCGTGGGTTGTGTGTAAACCTCGCACGTTATATCCATGTAAATTGTGATACACCTATTCATATATATATATATATATATATATAAATTATTATTATCAAATGTTATTACCTAGTTGACCATAAAATTTAATTAATTTTTTTACTGAAGGTTCACGTTCAGTGTAAACATCCGGTATATCTGTAATTTATAAAAATTAAAACAACTGTAAAAACTACAGTTGGTACTTTTATTTATATTAAAAAAATAATAATAACCCAGTTTGGTCAGAAGCATCAAGGGGAACGGAATGCACCAAATTGTATACAAATAAAGACTAAAACAAGAAGTCACTTTCTGAAATGATTGCCTAACAGATTTCAAAATTATTTTTTTGCTACAAAGCATAACAGTATGGGGGTTAAAAAGCCAATTATTTATTTCTGTCTACAAAATTCTATTATAAGCGATTTTTTATGGTATTTTCCAAGAAATCTAACCAAATTTCTGATAGCTTAATCAAAAATCGGCCTTTTTGCCTCCATAGAGAAAATAGTAAGCTTCAAATAAGAAAAAATAATATTGAATTCCGTCCAATAGCTACGCGGAAAATGATCACTTCTACAAAAATCATTCTTTATCAAACTTTCGCCATAATTCGGAGATAAATTACTTTAAAAGGTGTATAACTAGAAAAACTTAATATTTTTTTTTTTTATATAAAATTAGTCGGCATACTTAAAAATGGTTACGAGATTTTTGTCAAATATTGCCTATCCTTTGCGCCTTAATAAATAGCGCTTTCCGTTTCCCTTGATGTTTTAGATATCGATGCGAAAGCTATTTTTTTCTTCAAAATTATGTTACCCGCGAATTAACATTAACTATTTCGGTAATATTATTTTAACCGTGTGCATCTTTTTTTTTTATGCCATAAAATAAATACATAATAATATTGGTTTCGGTCGAAAGCTACAAGCGCTGAAGCAATTAATCACGGGCCATCTTAATCAAACTCGTGTCGCCGTTGTTTATACCAAGAATTGTCCATGGAAACCTTACAAGACAAATGACAAATAGCAAAAACTGCTATTCGTCCACCATGTACACTGACGCACGTGATGGTCAGCACTTGGGGTTTCATGAACATTAGAAGGAAAAAAAAATAACGCGGTCACAGCGTCATTTTCGTTCAACACTTAATTAATCTCTATTGTTACTTACAAATGTATATATTTCTAAAATTCATCAAACCAATATGTGCAGTGTATATTCTCATAAGTGTACAGTAAACGAGCAGAGGAATCCGCAAACGTTTAATTTATCGTTGGCGGCGGTTAACGCCTATAGGTAATGGCGTTAAACAATAAACGACTTTTAACAATCTCCTGTACAAAACTACCCACATTGGAATTTATTCACACCGATTAATTAGTGCGGATAAGATGACTTTCGCGACAATTATCGAATAACGAATTATGTAACGCACAGAAAAGAAATCAGACGTGTGCAAAATGTCTCGTTTTGCAATATTATTACAGCATTTCCATGTGTGGTACATCTTATATGCCCAACGTGGGCAATATATACTTAAATAAAAATAAACATATATTTAAACAAAAGTATCAAATAATAAATACATTTGTATTTTTGTTTAGAACAAATATCCAAATAATTCGGTAAAAAAATTATTTACATACCTACATTTAAAAAATAAAAATAAAAGTATTTAAATAAAAGTTCGGATTTTATATACGACTTAACTAAAACTTCATAATAATTTGTCAGAACCCACTGCCCCATCCTATGTATATATCTATATATTTAAATAATACCTTATTTGGAGCAGTCGAATAAAAATTTGTTTAAATAAATTATTATTTGAAAATACAAATAATAAGTTATTTTAAATAGTTTGTTGAGAGTAAGTAAAATAATATTTAAAACAAAAATTATTTGAAACGCTGTTTGCGTTATTTGTCATTTAAATTAAACATGCCCAGGTTTGCCGTAAATTAACAAAATATAATTTCAACTAGAAATCAAAATAAATATAATTGTTTTTAAGAGAACGTCAAAGTAAATTTTTGGAGCAAAAAAGTAAGATCTCGAAATACAATACCTAACTAATTATTAATAATGTCACTTCACAGGAATGTCCGATCCATTTGCATGCTCAATGCTCGTGGAAAGAAATACAAGTCGATGTAGCAATAGTACAAACATGTTAACACCAACCTATGAATTATATTACGGTATTAAACGAATTTAATAAATTCAAGTGTTCTGAGTGTGGACAAAAATAACACCTACACAGTTGCTTCTACTTGATGCAAATACTTTATACTTTATAGTAATGTATATATTATGTATTGTACTTCAAAAATAATTACTTAAAGCAGATTAACGACAAACTCTAAATGCTACTAAAATTGCCCATAAAGTTTGACCACTTTTCAATTCAAAGTGAATTTAAGAAAACGTTTAACAATACCGTGTGTTGTCAAGCGAAAAATGTAAAAAAAAAAACACAATAGCACTGTTGTAACTTATTTTAATATGTTACTGTTATATTTATTTATATTTTAATAATAAAGTCAATACAAAACCATGTAATTGTTTATTTGTATTTAAAATGAAGCATAAAACGATGTCTTCTATATAAAATACTAAATTATACTTTTATATTATGTATAAATTCTCACTTATTATCAGAATTTAAAAAAACATGAATAGCTTTAGATTTTAGCAAACAAAATGTTGTATCTAAAAATATTAAAAGCCCTACACTTAAAATTGTTTTTCTTTAATGAGTCCTTAATAATGCAGAAAGCAATTTGGTATTTATCCAATCCACATCAGAGGCGCTGAAGTCCAAAAAAAAAAAAATCATACATGACATTGATTTAAAAATGTTAAATATTACATCAACTTAATGGATTTATGTATATATTTCAGTACGATAAGAAATAAATCATGACAAAAATTGCGAACACCAAAAAATGTCATTTGGAAATCCATCCCACTACATTAGGAATGACTAATTTTTTACCTATTCCAATTGATTTGATTTCAACAACTGCTAAATAAATAATTCTAAGGATATTATATTTATATAGAAAAAATAAATATTTATCATCAATCTGCAATGTCTGCGTGGACACCATCTGGAGATTCTAGAATACATTCAATATAATATTACAATTTGGTATGAACAAAAAAAAATTCAAAACTTAATTTAAAAATGTAATAGAACAATAAGCAACAATGATCAACTAAATTTAATCGTTTAGGCGTTTTTTTTTTTTAACAGTTGCTTTTTTTGTATTTTTCAAAAACAATAATATTGGCATATGTGACAATATTGTTATTACAATATTACTTTGACCTTTGTTTTACAAAACAAAAGCATGTTAATTAAATTGAAGAACGTGATACAAGTACACGCCGTGATAATTAATGTTTATAATCACATTTTACACATTTTCAATTTACATTTTACTGTTAGTATATTTTGAAAACAACAGCGCAATTATCTGCTGGTGGGCGATTCAAAGAAATGCTATAGTATTACTTACAGGAAATAAATAGTAAGTTAATTAATTGAAAAGTCGGTTTATCCGTATAACAAAATGTATTCATATTAATATGTTTGTATGATAGCTTCGTTTATGCTTACTGAACAACGACCAAAATACATCAATATTTTTTTTGTGGTTATTTGTTCATTAAATCCGTTTTGTTCTATATTATATTATAATTTGGATAATATATACCAACTGTGGTTTGAGATACCTAACTCAATTTTTTTTTTGTCTATTTGCGGGGTTAAGCAGAACACAAAATGTACATGTATTGTATTGACCTTTCTAACTCTATGATCCTGTATAATATGCGTCCACTTGAAATTCTTATTCGGCTGTCTTGAAAATATAGTCATACCACAGCGGCAACCACTTTTACCGCGCACCCATAGTAGTTGTTGTAATTAAAATATTTTATTAATAATTATAATATTGCGTTAAAAGTGTTTTCGTTTGGGTACCCGAAAGTGAAGATTATTTTTGCAGCCAAGTGCAAATTTGTGTTGTCGGTCGAGGCGGCGCGACTAAGTGGGAGAAAAAAAATCTTTACGTTTCGCCGTCCACACGTTATTTTTAATTTTGATTTTTTGTTGTTTTGCTTATCCCGGAAGTGCGTTAAATTAAAAAAAAAAAAATAATGATAACAAAACAGAGTATAGTTAATTTTGCGAAAGTTCTTCCTGTAGTGGGTGTTGTACACAACGGTCGACATTAGACCATGCTTGACGTTATCAGGTCTGATGGGTCTTCGGTTTGCTCGTCCATTGACGCAATTATTTTCGTTCTAGAAAAATCATTTAAACGAAAATAAAACACCCGGCCAGCAGATAAAACTCGGTGAAAACGTTTTTAGACACCGCGTCAAAACGACAAATTGCCCAACCGATAACCTCCCACGCAGAGCTATCGCGTGCTACCCATATGGAATCCATAAAAAATCACTCCATGCCGTTTTGGACGGTCTTCGGTTAAGTCGAATGCAGAATAGGAGGCTTTAAGCAAAACCATTTAACAAACAGCAAGAATGTGTTGAAAATATCTGAAATACCGTTAAAAAGAAATTGAAACAGGAATTTATTACCTAAATAAACCGATTACAATTTTAAATACAATTTTTTTTCAACTTTAAAGCACTGTCAATCTCTATCTAATCTATCATCTATCTGTTTCATCTGATCAATCAAGTACAAATTAAACTAGGATACAACAGCATACAAGTGCCTACTGCAAGCCTGTCTACTATATAAAATTTCCCAAATTCTATTCACTTTACCCAACGGAATCTTCGAAAGTAAAATGACATTAGAATGAGCTGCGATTGTATACTATGCAGAGTAATCTATAGAAGTCGACTCCGAAATCGTCAGTTGACAGTTTTCTTTAATCTTTTTTACGAGTCAAATAATAAATATAATAAAACATAAACAGTAAAAGTAAATAGTTAATCGTTTTTGATAAAAAAAGAAAATTAATTAAAATTTAAATTTAAAAGTTGAATTGAAACTTTAATTAAATACCAGTGTTTGTAATATTTGTACTGCTGTGGGCTAGCTGTAAATGAATAAATAAGATTCATATTTCATGTATCACGTTAACAACTAAAGTACCTATCTATCTAATTTAAAATCGTTTAAATATTTCAGCGGATTAACAAAATATTGAAGTTATAACAACTTTTTAAAACCTAATTAAATTCTGCGTGTAAGCCCGTCTTTCGTGTAACTCTAAAATCGTTTGTTGACGAAAAAGAATCCTCATCCGAAGAGCTCATACAACCCATTTTATTCATTTTAAAATATGATTATGATTTATGTATATTATGCAGAAGTTATAGCATGTAAATAAATAATAATTCAGTCAACGCAAGTCGCAACTGCTGAAAGACATTTAACTTGAGAACATCTTGTGAAGTAATACAAATATAGTTTCATCATTTACAATAGTGAATTTAGCAGATTCAATTCGCTACGGTTAACAGCTTACACTGAAGATATACACAAGTGACACAACACCCATTGAACATAATATAGCATATAAGAATGAGGACTACACCTACCTATTGACTTGGCTCCTACTTAGTAAAAAAAATAATTTTGATTGTGTTTAAACTATCAAAAAACTAAAATCACTACAGTATAGTTCTCTATCCATTATAAAAATGTTTATTCAGCTACTGCAAATACTGCCCTCACATACTTGTCGCCGGCAAACCCTATTTCGCAGATAAATTACGGGTGTGTGGCGTCCTCTTAACCTACATTTATTGCCAGCAAAATACTTTTTACCATCTACAGTTTCGCATTGAATCGTTTATTTCCAAAGGGATTTAATTACAAGTTGGAAGAAATTATTAATCATTTGCCAACGCCTCAAAATACATCTTGAAATTATAAAAAAAAAATACATCATTGTAATACTTTCTTAGCTTTGCACCAAAGCTAAACCATTTACTAAACAATTTTTTTTTTTAATTTTAAGTGGGTTTTAATTAATATTATACCTAATTTTATGCGAATCATAACAAGTGAAAAAATATTGAACAAATGGACAAATTATAAAATAAAATCGAAATCTGGCGACATTATAGAAACAATAGGACATTATATCCTTATTATTTCATATAATATTAAATATAAAAAAAAAAATGTTTATTATTAACAGCAATAACATTTTTTTAGGAAATTATGGGGAATTTTTTGCCCATTTCAAATCTAGGGGTATACAAGTATTTACATTATTTTTATAAATGTTAATACGATATTTTTTATATATATATATATCTTCCTTTAAACGAAATTGCTTGCATTGTTTTTTTTATGAAAATAATGGCGAGACGTGCGCCAGTGCATAGTTAGGTTTCCTCCTTGCGGGCAGCGAGTGGGTGTATTGTGTGTATATAAAAGTACAGCGTTTGAGGGTTGTAGGCAATCATTTCGACATCCCTCGCAAGTCGTGCCAGCCACTCTTGAACGGCAAACGCCTCTCGACCACCACAAGTTCGTTTAAGTATCGTCCGGTCGTTATTATTATTTTTTTTTTTTTGCAAATCGGGCTCTAGTTTTTTTTTTTGTATTTTCAAAAACTCTATTCGGTCGTGCCATAAACGAAAATCCAATATGCGTCCGATTTTGTTGGTTGCCTTGTTGTTGTTGTGTGCCTGCTACGCTGCTGCCCAAGTGAACTTCACTCCGACCTGGGGACAAGGCAAAAGGAACGGAGCCGGTGCTTCCACTTCGGTGACGGACGAATGCAAGTCCATGGACACACTAATCTACCTCTACAAACTCGTTCAAGTAAGTCCGTTGATGCGATCTGTCCAAAGGGGATAGTACTTTCAAACGCAAACGGGTTAGGACGACACTAAAATTAGACAAAGGTCCCACAATGAACGCGTACGTTACAAGTTATTATCCGTTTAGGTTTAACAATTAAAAAATAGTTGCAAATTTGTTTAGCTCCTGAAAATAAATCCCAATATACTGTGAACTCGTATAACAGCTGTATTTGTACACAAAATCCATCACCCGCAAGACTTGGATCGTTTCGTGGACAATATAATTATTTAATAAAAACTTTATTTTATACTTTATGAACCGACAGCGAAAAAGAAAACTATGTTTTTAAACTGTAGTAAATATGTTGTTCAAAAAATAGTTTTATATTCTGCTGACTGATTTGTTTTAATAAATATTCTGGATGTGCTATTAATATGATTATCACTCCCCGTCAGCTAATATATTAGCTTTGTATCTATGTATTTGTTATTGTAAAATTTAATATTTTTTTTTTAGAATGAAGCGCAACGGATTGCTATGTGCGAAAAGATGTCTTCGTCTTAGAACTAAGCCAACCTTAAAGCCGACAATGACTAACAACATACATCAGTTATCAACATATTTTATTATTATTATTATGATTTTAAATCAATCACTTATTATCGTCGTTAATAACAGTTAATAATATTAAATGGTTTACATTATATGCAAAAACGGATATTTTATTTATATAGTTACGCGTAGTAATAAGACATTATTATAATACATTTGATCTGTTTCCGTGCTTGAATTCCATCGTTTACATATATTATATATAATATAAAACAGACTTGCATTATTTCAGACAAAAATGTGTTTATATTGAATGGTTGATATATTAGGTTTTGGGTACATTACTCGAAAACCCACATAAAAACATGACGCTCAAAGACTGTGTCAATTGTACTCGGTCAAACTTAACATAATTCAAACCGTTAGCAATGATAATAATAATAATAATAATAATAATAACAGTAATATTATAGTATGCAGTTCTGATTTTAAGTAGTGTGTTGGCATTTGGTCGTTTCCGGATGTCGGTGCAGTGCCAGTCAAGTGCATGACGCCAACTTATTTATGGGTAAACTCTATTCATATAAAATGTTGTAGTACAGTGGTAGATTTTTTGTTAAATAATTAAAAAACAAACTTGTTTATGTGCAGCGACGTGGGCTCTGTTATTGTCATATTTTCAAAGTATAAATTTCCAGAAAGTCTGTGTCATAAACAAGTGCCACGGTGCAAATTCATCACTTTTAAAATTTTAAGCCTCGAGAGTACATTTTTTTTTTGAAATAGCTGTTTACAGTTTGACTAAAGTGTAATATACTACTTATACACCACGGTACATAAATCGAACGATCTATAGGTCAATAGGTCTAGTTTGAGATCACAAATTATACAACCGCAAATCACTAACAGCCAAACGCGTGAATCGGAATTACCTATTGTAAGCAACAATATAATTATTATTATTCGTTTAAAACTATACAATGGCTTTTTACATATACATTGGTAGTCAATAGGTCCTTTAGGCCTTTCCGATAACGAACCGCTGTTCATTTGAACGGATATAATCACATACACTAATTATTCTAAGCAACAGCTGGTACATAACGCAAGAAATTAATCTTCTGGTAAGTTGTATTTGTTATTTATTGTATATTCATTAGTATAATGCTAATGTGTGAGAAATACCAATCGAGTAACAGTGACAGGGTCAAATTTGTTCAACTTATTCAACACATTCACATAATAAAGATTATTTACCATACTAAGTAGGTACACTGTATAAACAAAAATTTAAATCAAGAATTTATTTTTTGAAACATTTTCCACTAAGACCGATTCTGGTCTTGTATTGATTTCTCTGGCACGTCTAGGTAAAATCACTTCCAACATAGTAAAAAACAACGCTATTTGGTATTTTCAGCATGTTTTTTACGTTTTAAAAATTGTCTAATATGCATTCCAAAAGGTTTTTTTATTCCATTTTCTTTACTGAATTTGGACCTTGCCGGAATTTATGCAAAATTTGTAGTTTTTATTAAGGGGAACGGAAAGCGCTATTTATTAAGGGGCAAAGGATAGGCAATATTTGACAAAAATTGATCTAATAGCCATTTTTCATATGCCTACTAATTTTAAGGTGAACATAAATTATAATTTTCTAATTATAATACATTTAAAGTTATTTTTCTCTGAGTTATAACGAAAGTTTAATAAAAAATTACTTTTGTAGAAGTCATTTTCTGGCGTATTCACTGGACGGATTTCAAGTTTTTTTTAAGCAAAAATAAAAAATCGGCCTTTTAGCACCCATAGAGAAGATGTTAAACTTTAAAACAAACAAAACAATTATTGAAATCGGATCGCTAGACACTTCAGAAAGTGACTCCACGTTTTAGTCTTTATTTGTAAAAAAATTGACACTTTCCGTTCCTTTAAGACAAAAGGAAACTTGAACATTTTTACATTTGTTTTATTAGTCGATTACAACTTTGGAGATAATTATTAAAAACAAAACGTCGTGCTAACGATAATCTGAGATCAGATTCGGATTTGGCGAAAAAAATGTGTACATTGTTGATCTTATTCAAAAATCGTATTGTACAGTGTTATTATAAACTAGAAATTATATTACCATAATTTCGGTGATGTTCCTAATTACATTTATTTGGAAAAATATTTAATGGTGACAATAACCCGCAAATAGGTTCAATATCTCAATAATACATTAAAATATTTAAGTGTTGTTTGATAGCTACACGAAGGCCACGTTTTTAAAAAAATAAATAGGTTTAAACTCACAATACCTTTTTGGCTGTCTAAGCTTAAAAGTTAAATTATTAGTTTTATCTCTGACAATTCGAATTTTTGAGATAGAAGATAAATGTGGCATTTTTTTTAAACGAAAATTTAATAATTGATTAATATTTGTCATTTTATATATCGGCGGATGTTTTATAATTTTTCACAAAATTTTGAGAGAGATATTGAAGAAAACTCTGATGAACATCACCCCCGAGAGTACATTGTAATTATAATTTGCATTTAATTCAGCTGTAAAATAAAGTATAAGACACTTTTACCCTTTTGGTTCTCACCACTTAATTTAATATTCAGCGTATGTAAACAGGAAATGCAAATAATATTTTTCTACAGCAATGATAATAATAATAATAATGAAAGGTATATCGCATTATTAATGTTTATAATACAGAAATTCAGGATAAGCGTTTAAAAGGACTTTAAGTCCTTATGTGGTTATATTATTTTATAAATATACCTACGGGCTGTTATGAATTAGTCCGACCAGCGACCAAGTTGAGTTTTAAAGTATTTTTAGTTGTTTTAAGAAATTTTTTTTAATTGTTTTATATGATATAAAATATAAATACATTGACATATTGTAGTGTTTTTTGGTAAAAAAAATTACATTTTACAATAATAATTTTTGACTTTCATAGAACAATTCACACACAATTGACTGGTATATTTTTGTAATAATCCATTGTGTATAGTTGATACAATAAGCTTTGCTATCTAATTATGAAAACGTATTGCTCTTTATGTTACGAAACTAATCAGACTTAAAAAAAAATGTGTTGTATGTTTGCTTAACATACCACATGTGTGGGACTTATACATTAAGAAAACGACATGATGCAAAAGCCTAACAATACATTGGCCACGTGTCTTTTATAAACATCATTATTCTGCCAACAACCGCAGAATTAAAATATTTTTTGGTGTTAAATGTGTTAATGAGCTGTATCATTATTATTAGCTCTGTCAGCTGTATTTCATTTAATTAAATTTAAGTAGGTAATATAAATTTATAAAAAAATAATTAAATAAATTATAAAAAAAAAAAATAATTTAAACAAATCCACTCACACGTATACTTACTCGGTGTTTGAACTTAGATTTACTTGAGTATTAAATAAACATAGATACCTAATTTAAAATTGTCTAGATCTTATATTTTTAAAGTTCACATAAAACAGTTAAAATACAAGTTTGAGTAAAGGTAATATTTACTTTTAGCTTCGATACGGAACTGAGGAACTGTTTTTAAATAAAAAATAGGTAACTTCTAAATTTTATCCCTGTTTTTACTGCTATTGCAGCAGCGCACTTTTGATTCTTTTTACATATTTTGTATGATTAATGGCCGACCCCATGTAGTCGGGAGTGTGACTTGAAGACGAAGATAAAGCAGAAGATATTTTGTATGATTAAAATAGTCGTATATTATGTAGTTTATTAGTCATATTGTAGTTGACTAATGTAAACAATAAGTTACTAAATTAGTCACTCATTACTTATTGCATTAGTAACGACATAATATTATTATTATATTGTTATAGTCCTATAATATTATATGCACATTAGCAGCTTCCATTGTGTACATAATCACATTCACATAATATACAATAAGCTTCCTACTTCTCTGGATAATTTTACTCTTTTCGATTTGCACAAAACAAATTAATTAACAAAGACTGAACACATAAACATCAATATAATACAAATCCCATCCTGACCTTGTCTGCTATGTAAATGTTTTTATTAATTCATTTGCTTATGGATAGGATATAATATATATCATTCATCATGTAGCTTAACGGGCCATGAAGGCCCAACGCTGCCATCATGTGATGGTTTCTTGACGAAATATATATATATATATTATTATTTTCAAATATGCTAGGTAACCATGCTAGGTAACTATGCAAGTATGCTAACCTATTTAAAAAATAATTGATTTATTAGATAGACATAAAAAGCAAAGGATACTATTTGTCTTAGTTTTATTTTGTAAAAACGTGCGTATGATTTTACACTGTTGGTCAAGTTTTCCAAAAATATTGAAAATAGTTATGTAAAACTAGTTTTTTTCCAAACGGACCAATATATGTTATTTTGGGAAACTCCAACATTATGAATTTGCTCAATTTTTCCTAATTTACACTTGAAAATGTTATTATATTTAGGTTAAAACTTGAATCCGGCACGTTTTATATAGAAAATTTCAGTCTCCACCTTTGCTTATACTTTAAAGGCGACAAATAATGATAGTGTAGTTCAGACAATCATATTATAATCTAAGGGTGCGTTTGTATCATGAATAAGGTTATTAAGGTATTTCGAGGACACAAGTTACGGTTCACTGAGCTCGAAAACGTGTCCTGCACCTTCAATTGTATTATGTAATAAGTAATCTATTTTATATCACATAGAAACGTTTTATCTTTATTTTGGGCTACTCGTGGAATTACGCACGACAGAATATTTTTTAGCTTCGTCGCGTAGCTAATAAGGTATTGTTTTTACATATTTTAATTTTTTAATATAGTTCTAATATTGCTTCTTATAGCAAGTCTGTAGATCAGAAAATATCAAATGAAAAACTTGGCCAAAAAAGTTCACCCCTTTCCCTTGAAAATCGAAAAAATCACTCAATTAATATTAAAAACACACATTTTTCTACATAACATTACGGTGCTCCAAAAACTTTTTTTTTTAATTTATGAAAGTAGTAATTTTATGGAATATTCTTTAGGTATAGGACAATTGCTAAACGTTGGTCGTTGACTGACCTAAAATATATCGTAAACCCTTTCTTTTAGAAGTAAAGCAATGTGTAATAAATTTAATAATCAGTCGATAACAATAATAATATGGCAAGGTTAATAATTTTCTTATAAATACATAATTAACGGGTTAAATACTCGAAACAAATAAAATTAAATGTTTAAGAAACATGTAAAATTTTACAAAAAGATATGTGCCGTGACCAGGATTCGAACCTGGGTTATTGCGGCCACAACGCAATGTCCTAACCACTAGACGATCACGGCCGGATGATTTAAACGAATAATTTCACCTTATTTAAGAAAACGTCAAGTCCATTCGTTGACATTCGGTCTGTTTTATGCAAATATTTTATAAAAAACACAATTAATTAAATAAAATATTATAAAATGGTGAAATTTAATGTTAGATTGATAAATTTTAACACAATCTGATACCATGAATAGATATCATCGAAAAAGGAAATTAGATGATTTATGACTGGGATAATAATTATTATTGTGAATTTTTTAAATGTTGTATAAAACCTAATACCTAGGCATCATTTACATATCCTGGTATTTATCTTGGTATTACCTTGGATTATTGGGTTGGCGCACAACATTATGTTTCAACGTCTTATTTAGTTATTAAAATAATATGTATTAACAAATTAATAAAATAAGTAAATTATTAAATTTAATCGATTCGTTACTTTATTCTATTATTGTGTTTATATAACATTAAAAATATTTTGATTTAAATTGTTTCTCTTATTATAGTCATAAAATTTATCAATTTCGTATTATTTTATCACTTCCTTGCTATACTATCAACAACGATATGGATTTTCAAGTCCTACACAAGTTATACACTTACACTTAGTATTAATATTGTTTTATTTGTGATGATGAGAGTCGAGAGAGGACCTGTATTATTGATCATTGGTACATCTAGGTAGGTATGAGATTTATACTGGTTACAACTGGAAACTGTGTGAGTGTGTGTACATAATATTTTTTTTGTAATTTTTTTATCTAGCCAACGTTCAGTAAATATTTCAGTCGGTGTTACACATTATTAACGAGGCGCGATCTAGTAGTGTTTACGATCCCCTACAGGTTTTCTTATTCTCCAAAAGAACTCGGTCTATTGTCTGTCGTTGAAATGTTTAAAACTATCATTGTATAAACCGTCAAGCCTGTTGTTTGGCACAAAAATGAGATAATATGTATAAAAAATAAAATTATATTGCTGAAGGATCATGGCAATATTTGACAACAATTGTTTTATGACAATTTTAGTTATGTAAATTTGTCAGAAGGGAAATTTGGATATTAATTTAAAACAATTAGTTTTATTTAAAATAGTTTTTTTATGAGCTACAGGGATGTTTAAATTTTAAAAAAACACTACTGGAAAACTTACGGTTTTATATATTTATGTTTTTTTTTCTTTACAAATATAATAACTAATAAGTGATATAGGAATTAGAACGCTACGTTTTTGGATTTTAGTTGTTTTCAATAACAATTACTCTATAATTAAAATATTTCTTAAATGTTAAAGGTAGGTATTTGAATCGGCTTATACAAACTATATATTTTTTCTTTCTACTCAATTTATAAAAAAAAATCATCCCATTTTATTTTTCATATTTTTACTATTAAGATTTGACTAAAACCCCAATATCTCGTTTTAACACGATGACAGCAGACAACAATTATATAATTGTAATATTTACTGGCATATACTTGATTATTTAGTAATTCATTCATTTTTTTTTTTTAATTAATTATCCTGACATGTGAACTAAACAAGATTAATTGAAAAAAATGTCTGACGATTGCGGTCAGTAAAAACAAATTTAATGTCTAAAAGAACGCGTTGTTTTTGGCATTGAACGTGAAAGAATTACATTTTTAATGGACGTTTTAAACATTGGCACGACGCCTTTCGGTTAATTCGCTCCTGCTCTGTTAAATCATTTGTTTCAATTAAAAAACTAGCTATAATTTGCATCGTCATAAACGTCATAAACAAATTATTCACACAATGTGTTATGTGAACGTAACTCGAGCTAGCAATACTGCCTGTAAAGCGACTTTTTTTTTAACTAAACACATTACATCTACACGAAAAAGCAGTCGGATCTTGATCATTTCACGCCACAACTAGGACTGATCAGGCCTTCAGTTTTTTGTCAGGACTTACCTGTGTGCTCTGGACTGTTTAGACAATACGTTTTAAAATTCCCAGTTAATTATAAATTATAACTTAGTTAATTTAAAAATAATAATTGGAAAGCTAACAAATATTTTTTTTTTAAATATCACACAACTTATGATTTTGGTAAATAATAACACTACACATTTACAATAATAATTATTCTGGAACTTATTGTATACATTTAAATATATTATTGTGAACATGACACATATGGCGAACCATAGAGGACTAATATCACGTATGCATGATTCAAATGGATTTAAAGGCAATTAGTGATTTAAAGATTACCTAATCGTACGTATAATGACGAATTGAGATATAATTATTAGTTTTGAGGGAAAACACGGTTTCTAAATTGTTATAATGTCATTAATACGATCGATACTCGTCGATGGCGCGGATATAATATATAAGCCTATTATATTTACATTATACTACACACTTGCGGTGTTACTGTCATTTTGATTCAAACCTGGTCTATTCAGAATACGGATTGGCAGCCAAAAGTACACCATATAAAATGATTATAAACATTAAGGTATGTATATTATATTTTTATAAATAATTAAAAAAAAAAAATATATATATATATGTGTGTGTCTAGAAGGGCTAATCTCACTTTAGGCAAATAAGAATTAAAGCTTTTGTTTTCCATAAGGTTCTGTGTTCGTAATTTGTTTCTACATAACTCAATTTATTCATTTTCTAATTTTTGTTCTGGGAATACTATTTTTTAATATAATTTGGTGGTTAAATTTTTTTTGCCATAAATTGCCGTTGACCCTTTAAAACTAAGATACAGACTACAGACATACATATATATTATATATTGTTTTTATCCATCATATATAGGTACTCGTATTATTCTCCTGTGTTTTTCTTATGGAAATCGGTTCGTCCGTGCAATATGGAAGAGGCCAGGTAGGATATTATGGAGGTCAAGGTGGATACGGTGGCCAGGGATTTGGGCAAGGAGGATTTGGCGGACAGGGTGGCTACGGATATGGCGGTTACGGTAACCATGGTAAATACGGCGTACAAGGTGGACACAACCAAGGATGGGGTGGCAACAACGGCCAGTACGGCTACCAAGGAGGTTACGGCCAAGGATATAACGTTCAAGGATGGAATCAAGGAAACAGATACCAAGGATACAGTGGTGGCCAAGCATACGGAGGATATCAAGGATTAAATGGCGGATATGGACGACAGTAATTTTAAAACCCTAAGGATAGCGTTCTATACTAGAAAGTGAAGAAGCGTTTTTAAAAAAAGGATTATTATCTTTATTTTGTAAAGAATTAATGTATTAATGTTTTTTTTAAACTTAATAAAAATACTTTGAAATAAATGTTCTGTGACGAAACTATGAAAATATATCGATTTGTGTGTTTAATTACAAATAGTTGATATTATAATATGATTTAAATATAAAAATATCATTTCAAAATGCAATAGCCTGATCACAAATAATCCTCTTGTCCTAATGGATCTAATGGTCAGTTATAATACGAGTAAATTAACTATTAAAAATGTAGAGTAGAAGGTTGAGTAAAGTAAAAATAAATTATGTTTTGTTTCCATTATTTGAGCGTTTTAAACCTTGACATTTGCCATGAAAACACGTCAACTTATTAATCAGTCTATAATTATTTTGAAAAATAACACCCAGTATATTTTAGTCAACTTCCCAACAAAATATGTAGGATATTTGGAATGATCGCATTTTTACTTACGCGTGGCCAATAACTTTTGCAATTACTTTAATTCCTAGAAGGTAGTATGATTCCACAAGTTATCCACATTGATCGCAATATGAGGGACAGTGCCTATTATTAATTTATTTTTCAATACAAATGAGCTCCTAGATAATCTACATGCTTTGTTATATTGTCAGTACATGTATAATTCTAGTCATTTGTTCCTAGTATTTTTTTAAGGTCATTTTATTTTAAAACATCGTACTAATTCACTAAATTTCAATATTAAGGTCACGTATACCTACAAACAAACGTGCCACACAGTATAATAAATCACTTGCTGTCCAGAGTTTAGCAACAAATCAACGTTAAATAATTCGATTGGTCTAGTGTTTCACTATTTAAGTCTGTTTTAACGAGTAAGTTGGCAATACTTTAAATGTGTCATTATTAATCAGAGCTGGGGAAAAAACTGGATTTTTCCCAACTCTGTTGTGCTTAGTATACTTTATATATAATAAAAATATAAAAATGGTTGTAAATGGGAAATTATAATTGGGTAGATTGTGAAATTTTTGGAAACGTTAGTTACTATAAATCTGCTTTATTTGACATTTTACTGTTGTAGATATAATCGTAATAACGATACGTCAAAGGTCACAACTCCAAAGTTTTATTGCACTCAACGTTAATAAAACACAATAAAATGAAGACAAATTCTTTGGTAAACATTGTTTAATGTTTGTTGTCATTATTTTAACGAATTTAATACTAAAATAATGTTGATTTTTATGTTTAGACGTGTGTTCTGATGATATATATATTTATAATGACTATTGGGGCATTAGCACAATTCCAAGGAGAAATTATGTTTGGAGGTCAGGGGGAACGCCGAGGTGGATTCGGACAAGGACAACGTGGAGGAGGATATGGACAACGTGGATATGGACAAGGTGGATATGGACAAGGTGGATATGGACAAAGTGGATATGGACAAGGTGGATATGGACAACGTGGATATGGACAAGGTGGATATGGACAACGTGGATATGGACAAGGTGGATATGGACAAAGTGGATATGGACAAGGTGGACGTGGAGGTGGATATGGACAAAGTGGACGTGGTGGTGGAAGATTCTAACGAGGAGGACATGACAAGTTTGATGGAATCGAAAAGATTCAGTGACACATGTAGGTTTAAAAGTTAAACACCATAAATCAGCTAAATAGTTAATAACAAATAAAATTACTTTTTTTTAGGTATTATAAGTTAATGTCGGTGTTTTGAGAAGTCACATAATTCACGTAACCATTACTTTAAAGTTAATAATACCAAATAACAAAAAAACTTAACATAAATACGTTGTAATTAACATTATAAATTAGTGTAGGTATACTTAACGTTTGATATATGTATTTATTATATTAACTATAATAAAACTTGGGTGTATTAATTTAAAAAAAATACATATTTTTTAACAAATTTTTTGTAAATTGTTTTGAATAAATTAAAAAAAAAATCTTTGCGATTATTGTGTAGGCAAAACAATTTTACTTTAAACTTGTTGTGTGAGTAATTTGTATCAACATTTCAAATTTTACTATTGTTATTTTAGTTTAAGTTCTTGAGCGACAAATATTGTAATCTATTTCTTCAGACATATTTAAGTACATTAACACAGCAAAAATCACCGTACGGCTAATCGACACGTAACAAATGGTGATATAGATAATAATAAAAAAAAACCTTTCCTAATTTAATTTGTAAAGTAAACTTCAAAAACTGAGACGTCAGATAAGAAATAACTAATAAGTAACTACCACATTTTGTTAAGTTACCGGGTGTTGGACCATATTAACTTAAAAAACCTTTATGAATTTGTAAAAAAATTGAAGGGTCCAAAGCAAGAACAAGGTAACTCCACTTTTTATATAAAATTGTTTTTTTATGGGAAGATGTTTATGTAAAAATTATGTACTTTTTCGTGCATCAAAATAAAATCGGACAATTACCTACAAAGGTATTACAAAACTCATTTTTTCCTGTCAATGGTGGTAAATGGGACAATGGATTTTCTTTTGGCTGTCCTGAACAATTTCAAAATATGGAGATACTTGATTCTTGCTCTGGACCCTCCAATTAAACTTTTTTAAAAACTTACAGTAGTTTAAACATATTTTAAGCATACTTAAATGTTGTATGTAAACTTCCTAGCTTGGCAGTAACTGTTAAGATTTAATTTATTTTGACAACGAGATATTAGAGAAAATGTTATGAGTACCTAAAGCCCGAAAGTGGATGATCTAAAATGATATTAACGAATTACTTGAATATATTATCTAACTACTTTTATGTGAAGATTAAATAACGTAAACAAATTTTAATATAAAGAAATACATAATATACTAAATTTTACTGTTAATTTTTGCTTAACACTTATGGAAAAAATGACAAAAATATTTTTAAGTTGTATGTAATGCTTTTACAATTTTGATACTTTGAAGACCAGTATTTGTAATATATTACTGATCTCGAGATAAACCAATCAAAATTACATAACTTCACAAAACCAAGTTTGATCTTGGTAAAGAAATGTCTGTTATAGTTTTAAGAAATATTAAGTAGGTATATTATTTTCTAAGCTATTGGGCTTAGGCATGATTTTACTTATTGCATTATTGAAATCATTAATGTACTTAAACTATTTAAAATTAATTGTCTGTAGCATAATTCAGATCATTTTGCAATTCACAGTTGACTAAACAATAATTTATCTCGGTTTTCTTCCAAGTTCATAGTGTACTGGTCGTTCGCCTGAAATTACATAAATACCGCAACTACTATTGCATAGGGTTTCGTGTAGTTGCCTGATATTATTAATAATAAAACAAAATTAAATAACAACAATAGTTACAATAATATAATTTTAATTGATTTGAATTAATGTAATAAGAATATAGTAGTATACACGCGTTACACTTTTGACTTTAGTAAAATGTTTTTGATTCATATAGTTCAGGAATGGTAAATACAAGAATTTGGAAAACATCATATTATTGAAGTTATATGTACAACACATAATATTACACAATTCAGGATTGTCCATACCATTTCACAACAAAGTATTCAGTCACAATAAATTACAAATTGTACAAAATACAAAATTGTTTTGTTTTATGCAAATCGTTTCTAATTTAATGTAAGTTATTTGCATTTGTGTCGATTCCACGTGAATCACTCTCAAAATCTAAAATATTTTATCAGGGCCGTGCCAAGCAACGGTCGCACTCTTGGCAAAATGCATATTTCAATTGAAATTTAATTCTCGGGTCAAAATTTGCTCTCATTCCCTCTTACTTGTTCAATATTTTGCGCCCCAGCCTGTCACCCTCGCGGTCCAGCCCTGCATTTGATAACAATCGATAACATCACCCGATGTGGTCGGTCAAAACCGGGACTCTTCGTTTTTCGGTTGTTCGGGCCTGTGGATTGCGCTGACTCTCCTGGAGAACCGCACGTTGCTTTTGCCGTCCATAGTGTTGCCGTCCTCGTCCAGGTCACACGCTTTGATGGTGAACCCGTCCTCGTTGGACGTTCTCACGCTGATCACTCCCGAATCTTCCAGGAACAGCACGGGAGCGTCGTCGGTCAGACGGTCTTCGCCGTGCCGGCGGCCGGCGGACAGGGCCTTCCGCAGGACACTGGAATCGTCCGAAACGGAGTTCCTGAAACCGTGCAAATACAGATCCCGGCACTTCTTCCGGAAAACCTTGTGGTAGTTGATCAACACGAACGGCACGAGCACGTCGAACACCACGGACAGCCGGCACAGATAGCCGTCCAGCGTGTATTCCCAGTGCGCGTTCCCGCCGGACCGGAAAATTCCCTCCGGGTCGTCCCTGTACAAGTGAGTGCACGACCATATGTATCCCGGCATCACCAGGGCGGTGTACGCTGCCAATATCCGTTTGCACGGCGGCATCAGCTCGGCGACAGGCCTGGGGTTGTCGCCGGAAGCCAGCAAACCTCTGGCGGCCCTCGTGGTAGCCGTCGACGGTCGGGAAACGAACACCAAGTAAAACGACACCGACCACGGTATCACCAAGCCGAAGGCGATCAACAGCGTGGGGTAGAACCATCCGGTCGAGTTGCCAGTGAAACCGCAACGACCCCTGTAAAATATTAACCGATTCGCCAGTTATTTTACATTGCCTAGTTAATGCGGTCTGTTGAAAAACCGACAACATAATGTTCAGTCCTTGTAAACCATGACGAGTAAGTCCGGCAGCGTAATTACAATTTTCTTCTGGGGGTGATAGGCAAAAAAATTCCTAATGTACTACACGTTGCCCTTATGGCCTGACCAAAAAAGATGTAACATCAAGTTTTAATTGGACAAATTGTATTTTGTATCCATTTTTAAAAGTTGGACATTCATACTCTCTCTTGATACAGATACACGATACTCTGATCAAGGGCGTCCACAGGGAGGGGCAAGGGGAGACAACTCCCCACTCCCAGCTTCTCTATAAGTTAAAAAAATGTATATTTAACTAATCAATCCCTAACTGTAATTTCATAATGTGGTATCTACAGGACTGCAAAAGTAATATATAAAACCCGTTCTCTGCATATAACATCCATTTGAATATTTATGATAAAATGCTAATATCAAATAATTATTAAGCCAATACAGATGTGCAATTTAAATAATGTCTGCGCGATAAAAGTACAAACAAAACCCCTTATACATGATTACCAAGAATTATTTGAATGCGTTCTGTTTGATTTATACATATCATTTAAGTAATTACTATTTGTAAGTAAAATTGGATACTATTATCTCGTTCCTTTTAAACTTAAAATGGTATTACGATCATAAAATAATATCTCTAATGTTTCATTATACATTTAACGTCATAGGAGTATTTTATCTACGGTACCTGCATAACGAGAAGTGTAGTATTTCTTATGTCATCTTAAGCAGCTGCCACGCAATTAAATGATGTTATGGTAGCACGCATATGTACGTTTGCATATTATTGCCTGATTAAAAATCTCTATGCGGTGTGTATATATCTTACATATTGTTTGTTCAATTAGTATAATTACTAAATAGTAAAGAAAGCTTCAGAGTTCGATCTTGGCAGGAGACTTGAATAGCCCCACGTATTGTCTGTTCTTACGCCGGTTGGAGTTTTTGAGTATTTTACTATACTATACATGTCTAATCTTATCTGTAATGCTTTGTTATTAAATAATAATGTAAGCCAGATTACGAATACAGTTTACACCCTCTCCAAATAAAGTCAAATAAAAACCATTCGATAACCTTTAAAGGCACCTTTTATAGCTTTTTAATGCGAAGTCGAGTTATCTAAAATTATATGTGACCTGTGAGTAACCTCCCGTTTTTTTTTTACAATACACACGTCATGGAAAGTTAACGCAATGTTTTTATTTTTAATTAATATCCTTCGCAAAGTCAATGTAACGGATATTAAAACCATATAATAGTATTAACCGTAAAAACATAATGATTAAAACAACTACTATGTAATAGTGGTTTATATGTACGGTGCGTGCAGACATTTTTATCTATATATTAATATCTAGAAATCCTACAATTATTAATGGAGTTAACACGAATGGTGTCCCATGGGAAAATATAACCCAATATAATATAGTGCAAAGTAAATCTACATATTTTCCAAAAAACATAACGTGAATTGGTGTATTTAAAAAACAACACTATTGCTTTAAAAATAACAAATATCAAATAGGTGCAAGTGATGAAATCGCTTTATATAGTTATTTATATTTTATAGATAGGTACGCGCTAGATCTTACAATCAGTCCTATTTTCAAGCCGTAGGTCTAAAAGTTCCACCCCAAATGAAAATGAATTTCCAAGTGTAAACTAATCAATCGAAAATGTATTATAAGGCAGATGAAAAATGTAAGTTGCAATCAAATAAATCAAATAGTTTTTTCGAGTTGTAAAGTGTGGTGGCCCTTTTTCGTTGTCTATTTGTGATCTAATTTATTTTTATCTTACACTTTTTATATAGTTTTAGCTTACCGAAATCACTAAATCGCTAACATCTCGTTAATCGGGAGTGCTCATAATAATAACTGTATTTATTTTTTTTTACTATATTTCAACAACCTATGACACTGTAGATCTAGTATTATTATATGAACTACACGAACATGTTAAATATATTGATATTTTCTAAATGTTTGGTTAGACATATTAAATACCTCATAGTATAATATTATGAGTATGATATATTTTTTTTTCTTCATATTTTCAAAATAATAAATGTCTAATTTTTTATTTAATTGAATGGTGACAACAGCTGAGTTGGTCGAAATAACGTAGATTATAATTTACTCAGAAACTAATGACTGTAATAGATATTGTAATAATCTACACTATCACTATCACTAAACCAAAAGGGTGCGAGTGCACCTAATTGTAACCTTTTGATGTTCAATATTTGTATGGGCACAAGTGCCTAATTATTATAATATAGTAAGAGTAAGTAGTTACTACTACTTACTATACAACTATGTAATTATTATGGTACATACATTTTAGCTTCGACGCGGAGTTGAGTAGTAATTGTTTTGTTCAATGCGGTTTTATTTTTTTCTATTTTTTTTTTTAACTATATATATTGAATTATTAAAACAAAAGTAATTGTAACATTTTTAAAATGTATTAAACAGTTGTGTTTTGTCTGTCGAACGATCAACACGATTGTTCCGCTCTTAGGCATCGAATTCACTAGTTGTGTTTAATAAATATTGTAGCATTAAACATTTTTTCGCTAACAGCGGAAGAGGAGTGTTAAGTGTTTAACATAAATTATTGTCTAGGTCACGCGCATATGACGGATCGGACGTGGTTTTGCAATGGATTCATCTTCTATGCAAGCGGACAATATTTATGCCGGTGCCAAATCAAATTGCTATTGACCAAGCAATGTTTGGTTCAATTACGAAACGAAAATGAAAGTTTAATGGGAAAAAAATTTGTATTAGATCTACAAGCGAGAATAGTTCACAGTTGTAGAGGTCTAATTGTTAGACTCCCGAGTGAGTAGTATTAATAATACTAGTAAAAATAAAAACCCTAATAATACAGAGTTACATGAAAAATATCGCTTCTTCCAAGCATGTCTAAACTGTAAGGATGTGTTCAGCTGCGACTGACATCCTTTAAGTAACAATCAACTACGTTTACAGCTGGACAAGCGTTGGAAGATCAAAATGAATTGTCACTTTGAAGGAACAGATGATGCCAAGTACTTGGGAATGTACCGATTGACTCTAGACTTAACTGAACACATCATGTAGGCCAGGAAAACTTGGAAATCAAAAGAAAACCGCGCAAACTATACTGGCTAGAAGATCGACACTCCTAGATCTAATAAGCAAACGTCTTTTGTGCGTATCGATAGTTAAACCGATTTGGATATTGGATCTATGATAACTATCTAAATATGATAAATATGATCTATCATAATAAATAAAAACCATCAACTTGTACGGTTGTGCTATTAATTTGTTTGTACCTGAGTGGAAAGTATCTGGTGGACAGCAACAGAGTGGGGGTGAGTATGACATAAGTGTACAAGGATGGAACAGCCCAGAGGACAGCGGCGGCTGGTGCGGGCAACACGTAGTCCGGCCGGGCGAACGCGTTCAGACAGGAAAGTGCGGCGAACGTGATCAGCTGGACGTTGGGCAAGGCCGCGGTGACGGTGGCCACGACGCGACACTGTACGGTGGCCACGTTGTCGGAGAACGACGACGCCGTCATCACTCCCGGCGTTGTTTTGTCCTGCGACAACAGGTCTTTGGTGACCAGGTAGTGGCCGACGGCGCTGTCCAGCGCGCACTGCAGACACAGTGCGGACACCAGTACCGCGTACGGCGTCCGCAGCCGGTCGCTGGTCAATATGCCGCTAAGTACCATTATGTTGGACACTATGGCCACGGAAGACAGTGTTAGGTACACGGCGGACAAGGCGAACGGCGGTCTGGACGACGAATCGACGTCCGGCAGTATCAACAGTGTTCCGTTCGGACTGGCGTGTATCACTTTGACGTCCATCGATTGCCGTACCTGCAAATGCCATAAACTCAACTGTTTCATAACTGTATTCATCAGGGATCGAATTAAATTTTTTTACTTCAAAATGTTAAAAAGTCATACTTTAAGATTGTATTTTACAAAATAAAAGTAAAATCGCGGATAACCGTTCTTGTAAAATAGATCTCTTACAAAAGTGTTCTGTAAAACTTGAGCTTTTGTTTAAACGCTTATAATATATTTTATAATACAATTGCCCGGCTTATTATTAAAAACTACAATGTTTGTCTGGCCGCACGCAAAATTTTGAGTAACAATTCTTAAAAATGTGAACATGATTTACAAGATGTCAAAAAGTGGTAACTGGTAACGTTAAAAATGGAATTGCCAAACAATTTAGGATTCCGTGGAAATACACTCCAAGTATTTGGGATGTATTATAAATATTAAAGATTTTATTTACAAAATGCCCAAACGTAAAACCCTAATTACAAAGTATATTTTTTTTTAATTTTAGAAAAACGAAAACACATATTTATTAAATTTATTGTATTTGTTTAATAGTTTTCGGTTATAGTCATAATGTATCACTTTATTTTGTAGTGTTGATTTGTGGAAGTCTTGTTGTCTACTTTTGTAGATTATAATTATTATTCTTAAAATAATTGTATGAAAATAATAATATGTGATACCCTTACGTGAAATACAGTTTTTAAAATTTCCCTTGAACAAAACTATAAATCAATACTAGCAAAACACGCTAGTGTTATACCTTTGTTTTCAAAACGTAACTTAGTGTTTTAAAAAAGAAAAACAATATGGCGAAAATGTTTAAAAAAAACATTTTGTTCTTTTTCCCATGAATTAAGAACTATATACCTATAATTATTTTTAATTGCTTTATATTTTTTTTAAATTGTTTTTGCATTTTTTTATATTGAGAGATAGCATAATCGAGTAGACAGCAAGGCAGTTTCTATACCATAGTCCATAAATAATTAGCGCCTTGGCGTTGTGTAACTAAAATGTAATGTTTAGCTTTTTTCCATTAGGAATTTCTTTGAAAAATAACTATAAGTAACGCAATAAGTGTTCTATAATTTAATTAATATGCAATGAACCGACAAAATCCTTTTTTCGGTTAATTTTTTGTACACATCACAAAAAAAACAAATACTCAACAATTTGTCTTAAAATCGATAATTGATCGAAATGAAACTCATATAGTGGATGAAATCTAAGAAGCAAAAACGTTTACAGCGACTAAATGAGCTCACATCGCATTGGCCGGTCTCGTTTGCGAGTCGATTAATAATAATAATACTTTCGTTCTGATTAATGCGCGCCATTACTTAATGAACAGACGCATTTGACTACAGCGTCTGACATTCAACACTGGCAAAGTCAACGCGCACAATAGTGGTCAATGTATAAATAAATATCAACAGCGTTTGTCTTAAAAAATATACAATTTTAAGCGAATAAAATTACTCAAGGCTTTTGTGTTTAGTGTTTATTAATTTCAACGCTATTCGTTTACGAGTCCAAAATACATGAAAATCAATACAACAGTTCACGCTGTAAATAAATTATGGCATTTAATTTTCGAGTCACGTGTCACGTCAGCTACACACAATTTTCAGAAACGACCCTATTCTTTTTTTAATTATTACATATATATATGTTATAATATATGTTTATATATTTATTCCTTTTTTATTAGTTTTTGTCTGTACGGTGTATCGTTTTGTTATCGATATATTCATTTAAGTTATGACTTAATAAAAAATTGACGAAGATCAATAAACTCAAATTACATATTTTATCATAAAAAAAGTCGTTTTGAAAACAAACAGATGACAGATGAGTGAAAGTGATTTTATTTAAAACAGCTGTCCACTTAGATGTCCCCTGTCACCCTTAAACAATCTATTACTTATTTTTGAAAGGAGGAAAAGGTTAGAAAACAATCCTGTCGTGTCTACGACTTCTGATTGTGTGTTTCAAATGAACTAAAATCTAATATTAAACTAATTATATGTTATATAGAAGTCATGTATGCATTATTCGCTTTTTCGGTGTATCATTTTTTTTCAAACCATGTACAAGATCCGACGCCCGCGTATTGTACTTATACAATACATAAAAAAAAAATATTAGAAAAATATAAGTGTTAATGTGAAATGAAATACTGTTTTCCAGTACGACCAAAGTAATTGTACATAAAGTTAGCTATTAACGTGCGAGATCCATCAATCATCATTGAATTCACATTTGAACGTTTTTACCAGAGCAAGACGTACAATTTTTACAATTTCCTCGTGAACTTTTAGTCATATACATGAAAAGCAAAATATTAAAACTATAATAATATCATGACTGACACATTATTCGTGAATATTACTTTTTGAACTAACTTAACGTTACATTAGATTACATTGATATACAAACAATTTTAATAATATACATTTTCTTTTAATCGATGTAAAAGTAAAGTTCATCATTACTTAAAAAAAATTAGTTTCCTAAAAAAACTATGAAACCAATGAAAATTTAATTATTAAAATCCTAATTTCATTTTATACATTTATTTGGATTTGTTGTTTACTATAATTACAAATTCTGCACTCAAATTGAAATATTTTCAAACTCCAACTATGTATTTTGTTTATTAATATTAAAGCAAAATAGTTCATCGGCTGCGTACATTATCTAATTTGCAAAAATTGGTTTAAGCTTAGTTTTTAGATAATCTACTACTGATGTATAATAAAAATCCATAAAATTGTTCTTGGGGACAGTTACCTGATTTTAGGTGCGATTTAAAATAAACCTAATGTGGCATGTGCTTATAAAAATAACAAATAAATTTTAATAAAATGGTAACAATTTTAAACAGTAAACTACTACAAATTACTTTTGAATAAAATATGTAAGTCATGTTAGTATCGCCTTTCTAATTTTGCTAAATCTGAAAAAATTGGAGATTAAGAATTATGTAAATACATATTTTTTTTTTTGTACAATACATCTAATACTTTTTAAACATACTTTGTTCTATGAATAAAACTGTTATTTTAATAATTTTGAGTTTGACTGATATGTTAGCTTTTGATTTTTTTTTTTGGTGAATATTTTACCAAATAGCATGGTAGGTTTTTTGGAGTTAATGCTGGTCGTAGGTTATTACACTTTTTTATACTAATTATATTTTTTTAAGAAAAAAAAACAGATTGAAAGTTTTGACTTTTATAACTCCACTGTATGTTTCAGATGAATAATGGTGCGATGCCTGTGTCTGTTAATACCTTTAGTTGTACACAATCTAATATAGTTTTGAATGAGCTGATGCTATTATGTAAAGGATGGAAGACACACAATACCGGGGATTAACAAAGCCAACGCGAACCCAAATATGAAGTATAAAGATTTTAGTGTACACATTACACTGTACTGGTAGCCATATCTAACCGTGATTACATTATGCTGAGCTTCGGGTAATGTCCACGACAACTGCAATGTTACCCACACGGTTGTAACGATTTTTTATGGTGCATTTAATAACAATAATAATAATAATATCACATTATCCCATGCGCATGCAATCATTTGACCGTTAAAGCAGCGTAACGCGATTACATGGCCGCCCGTATAAAGTATACAATATTATCACTAATATCGCAATAACAACAGAATAATATACCTATATGCTTGGCGTAGGCGGATTTCGGTAAATTTCAACCGAGTATAGATAAATAATATATATATTTTATATTGATTTTTTTCGACCCTTACACCGCCGTTTAAAAATTACAATTATTAAACAACTGTAGAAACATAAAATATTATATTGAACAGCGTTGAGAATCTTTAAAATCAACTTGAGATTGTTTTTAATTAATTTTCGTACTATATGTAGCCTTTTACCTTACTATAGTTGTCTAAAAAAACAAAAAAGGAAGGTTATTAAAAAACCAACCGGACATTGATTTCAAAAGATTTTCAGGACTTTAGACGGTTTTAAAAATCGTTTTACAACAACTGTTAAAATCTTTATAAAATCAAAATATTATTTTATATTTTTTTTCCAATGTTATAAAAAAACTAAATGTTTACTTTTTATAGGCCCCGATTCACAAACGATTTTAGGTTTCTTAGAATTTTTCCAGAGCAATTTTTCAACTTTGAAATTAAGAATAATTTTGCTGTAAAACTTTACTGGTCGGATGACCAGTTCTGAAAAAGTTACTTTTAAAACTATAAAAGATTTAAACTTTGGGTTATTACACTTGAATACTACACTCAACCCTTTCACCCGTCTTCAATTTTAAACTTTAATAATTATTCAAAACTGGTTATCGACTAGTCAACGTTATTAGTAGATTATTATTCATTAAAAAAACTTATTGAAATATAGTATTAAGTTTTTAAAAGTTAATAGAGCGCTGAAATTCACTAAAAAGGATACAAAATTAAAACATTGTGTTAGGTAATAATAAAATGTCTCAAAAAAAAAAACTACAAATTTGCATTTATTTTAAAATGAAATGAAAATTTCATGAGAATGAGTGTACTACGTTAAATGGATCATTTTGTACATTTACAATGTGTAAATAGAAGGAAAAAAAAGTTTACCAGATATGTTGACCATTATTAAAAAACGGTATTTTGAAACAAAACCGACACCGAAATTCGTGTGAATTCGTCTGAATTTTTTGATGTTATTATATTTTTTATGATGTCATCATTTTTTTATCACTGCAATGGAACATTTAGTGTTTCAAAAATGTATGCATTTTTTATTAGGTATAAGGTATTATTACTTCTACAGTAAATAATCGTTTTGTTATTGTGTTATTTACTTACTTATCGCTCGTTATTGACCAAAATAGTACTTTTAAATAGTTCAAATGGACTTTAAGCGAATAATATGGTACCACCTTCATCGGACGATGGTTACGTGATGCGGTCATTGCGTTATCAGTCAATTTCAGTATTCATATAAATAGACGTGCAGCATCTCAGATCAAGCATAACACGATTTTTGTGCAAATATATACTTTGGTAAGTGCAAGCGGCATTGTTTTTATTTACAACGAACGAATTGTTTAGTAAGTAAATACATTATAACCGATTTTGACCTTTTTCAGTATTTTCTTCGCAAGTACTCCTAAAAAACCAACTCAAAAACCAAAAATGGGCGCAGAAAAGGTATCCATGAACATCGTCGTCGTCGGACAAGTGCAATCCGCCAAAGCCATCAAAACCGTCGCCAAGACCAACCTTGCCGCCAACCAAATCATAGTAAGTTTTTGGTTAAGTCGAAATCGTAGAACTTATATATTATAATAGGAAAAGTTGAATTATGCTATCTTAACGAATACATTTTACTAATTAGTTTGTATTTTTTTTTTTTAAATAGTTTTTTTACAAAATATATTTTATAACAAAAAAAAAATTATATTCACCGAAAATAACTTTTACACTTCTAGTTAAATAGATTAATTTACACTGAAAACTTTAATGAAATTAATTTTGTTACAAAAATAAAGTTTGGTAAATTTAATTTAAAAAAAAATACAAATTATTATAATTTATAGAATATTGAGCAGTAATGTAAAATAGAAACTATACTACAGTACTAACTTTAATGTCCCTTGTTGCTGTTTTATAATTTATTTTTTATACCAAAATATGATGTGTAATAACTGTTAAAATCTACAAATTTTTATTTAAGCTAACTTAAAAAAAAGATTTAATAATATTATACAATATAATATTATTTAAATATACAATTAAAACGTGATAATTTCATGAAATTTGTATTAGCATCTAAATTGTTAATTTTATTAATTACCACCATTTTTGTTGATAAGTAAACTAAAAATTAATTCCCTACAACGATTAATTAGATAAATAGGTACATATTACATTTGTTTTTTAAATTTAATTTACTGAGAAACAACAAATATTTTTAAAATATACAACAACAACGTAGCATTGTCATTAATTTTATTGGTATCACAAAAAATTGTTTTTGTACTAGGCATGTATTTAAGAAAAAATGTATTTCTGTTTGCTTAATACCTAATATTTTAATTTTTTCAGAACTGATTATGAAGTAAATTCAAAAATTCCAAACTCAAAAATGCCATAGTCCACAATACAATGCATACTATATAGTATATAATATGTATTGATATCACCAAATAAATTATAAAAAAATCCGTTGAACTATGTTTATTTTTTATTTATTGAATTCTGTTTTTTTCCTTTCAAAAGATAAACGAACCACGCTGTAAGTTTACAAACCTAGAATTTGAAATTGATTTATGTAAATTATTTTGTCAAATCAATTATCTGGACTGACTAAACTAAAAATACGTAGTTCAGCTAACTGTGTTGAGTTATTTTGCATTAAATTTCTATAATGCAATTTAAAAATTTTAATATTTCGTCGGGCCATAGTGGACACGGAGTGTTTACAGGTCTTTAAGAATTAATATAAAATAAAGTGATTTTAAAGGGGAAAAGGTGATTTTTTTTTTTAATTTCACGGCCCAATGAAATACTGCTCAGATACGATTTCTGATCTGTAGACTTGCTACATAAAGAAATCGGTTTAGCGGTTTGGGAGGTATGTTATGTCCAGGCACAAAACTATAAAAAAAATATATACATTCTCAGCTTCGCATTAGCTAAAATAGTTCTTAAATAAATCACCACGAAACAGACGGTGGAGATAGGTAGTTTAGGCCTTGCTTCAAACATGGAACTAGCTACTAAGTATTGAAATAAAACTGGACAAAGACGAAGACTACTTGTATTATTCTACTCACGCCGTTGTTGTAAACGTTCCGTAACTTCAAGAACCTATTTGGCATTTTATTGATGTGTGATGACCATACAACGACTACCGTAATGTCCAATTGAATTCTTTGAAGAAGAAGAAACAATGTTCTTTTCAAAACTGTCTTACTTTTCAACAAACTGTACATCTTTTGTTGGTGTAAAAATTGTTTTTTTTTTTATGTTATTATATTGTAATAGCATTAACAAAAGTTTGTTTCAAAAAGCTTTCACAGAGAATAGTGTTTACGCGTTCGGACAATACTAATGTGCTTTTTCCTAAAATAGAGTAAAGAAAACTAGCCAGTTTTTCTAAAACCCACATCTAATATTATATTGTTTTGGGCGACAACAACAAATAATAATATGGAAATGGTCAAATCCAGCGTAGGCGAGTAGGTGAGATATGACATTTTTTAACGGATATTCGTTTGCACGTTTCTATGGGATATTATTACAAAAAAGACCTTTAACTCTGGAATGGCAGCTGCGGTGGGTGTACATTTTTATCACCCAACTGACATAGTCCACAGCCCAACGGTTATGAGCACACGAGCAGGTGTGCATTTTTTAATGTCAGTGCAGCTTATTTGTGTTGTTCTCCGAATTTGGTTATTTATTAACTTTATTACCAGTCATTTTTTTCTCTCCTATCATACACATACAATGACAATGTCAAGGTCAAGAGACACTGTCGATAAATTATCATAATATGTATTGTACTAGAATGAAAGTAAAAACTCCATTCGCGCTGATGTGTAATGCGTATTAATAACAGTAAAAATCGAGGCCTCTTATACAAATTATTCCACTCTCTTTTTGTCGTCACATACAACATTAATGATTAACATTAAGTTTACTCCATTACAAAATATGTAAAATATAGTTTTAAAAAAATATGACTAATGCCGTATACAAAAGCGAAAAGTCTGCTCTTTTGTCGTTTTAAGCACTACAGATAGTACGGACAGCACCTACTAACTACTTAATACTATTGTTACTTGCATGGACAACACGTCATGTCCAATGGGAAATGTGACACCGCATGTAACCCACTTTGAGTGTTGTGATGATACTATCACATACAAATGACATAAACGTTGTCTCTCTGATACCAATACACCATTGTTAATGAATGTTAAGTTGCGTCGAGCACGATAAGGTAATGCCATAAACTTGTTTATGGTAATACAGATTAAGAACTGTCACTGGCATAACCTGTGTAATTATAATTATCTTTTCCACTCTCCCAACAAATAAATAAGACAGAAATTAAACCAAATTTTTTTAATAGTAGGATATTTTCTTAAATTGTAGTTTTAAAGTTAACTTAAATAAATTAAAATGTTTCTAATAGAATCTTCTTTAAAAAAACTAAAAATCCGGATTTTATTAACTTGATTAGTAATTGCATAACCACCAGATCAGATTTATAATAAAGTTTTAATGGCCGATTTTTGATAGCAAAAGAAAAATGTACAGAAAGCTTTCATATGTTTTTTGTAACAAGTAACAATCAACAATAATAATAAAAAATAGTGAAAAGTATTTAAAATAAAATAAATGTTAAAAAAAATAAGTTTATAAAATATTTGTCGAATATATTATAAGTAAATGTAAAAAAAAAATGTATAATAATATTATGTAACTAATAAAAAATAAACTTATTAAAAAATATCCACAAAAAACGTATCTACGTATCATATAGTAGGAACGTTTTTTATTAACATCGTACATAATATACTTGAATGTTGTTTCTTAAATATTTTATTTACAATACATCACAACTTAAATATTGTACTGTTTAGAAAATTGTTTTTGATACTAGGGAATTCTCCCTGGTATATTTTTAAATTGTTGATACTTTATATAATATATTCTATAATAACTTAAAAATTGAACGCTGACATTTATTTGAAATTTTGTTCTTAGACTTTGAGATGTGTTTTTTTTTTTACTGACTGGACTTGGTCAATAACGGTCAATGACGTTTTAAAATCCGGTGCTTATATAATAATATGGTTTCGGCTCACCTAAGTACTGTCGGTGATCAGGTAGGTTTCTTCACGGTGTGTTCAGAGCGCATCTTCAGACGATCCGAGTCGCTTAAAACGTGCTCGTTACGACCCGCAAACGCCATAGCTGACAAAAGCTCAAGTAACTTAAGCTAAGTTCGCACTGAGTAGAATTAAAAAAAGTAAAAACCAAAAAAAACTTCCAACGACCCACCGCTACACTCGCAGATGTGGACTGACAAGTGGTGAGCGGACAAAGTTCGGTCGTCGTCACTGTTATTCGACAACATAATAAAGATACAATAATAATAGTACAAAAATATATATTATATTATGATGTTCTAAAAAAATATGATAAAGACACTCGATGGCGCGCGCACGCTATACTCGACATTATATTGGATCATACAGAAACTTAGACGTAGCGCCACAAAATGTACACAAGTAATAATAATGCTAATAAATACTACATAATATAAATGACAAACTCGGAAACGGCGACCACCCCGTGTTCTGTTTTAACAGACTGTTGCCCTTAGAAACCCTTTTGGACAACACCTACGTGGCTATATATTATACAAACCTCTGTGGGACTCTACCGCTGCTACACGCCGTATGTGTTTAAAATAAAAACAGTAACTAACCTTTGTCGCGTGAGAAATATTAATCGATACAGCTAGTCTAACGACCCTATCAAAAACTGCCATCGTTGGTTTTTGGACACGACATATCAACCCCCACTATGACCAGTGACCACAGACAGACCAGTATATAGGTTTTGTTTTTTGGCAGCCAATTACACACTGAGTACTAGTTGTGTACTAGTTGGCTTACCAGTATGAGGAATTGCCAGAAGAAGGTAGCAGAACCTGTTCTGCTCGGTGAGTAAGACGTGATAAAAATGGAAAAATGTAAGTATTTTAAAAGATTTATGCAAAGTGATGCAAGTGCAATAATATGTCGTGTGATGTAAATTTGTCATTTGGAGTAAAACCAAATTGTATAAAGTGCAGTGAGACCAACGTGACAAAAAGTGTGAAGCGATAAATGGAGCATGAAAGTAGCTGAAATAAGAATGTTGAGGTGGATTATGTTTTGACTAAGTTAAATGCACAATAAGCATAAACAAGAAAGTTTGGGAGTGGTACCAATGCAATGACTGAAAAAATATGAAAGATCTTCTTCTTATCTTATAAACATAAGCTGATATTATAACGTAATACCTACTATATAAATTGTTATCAACATTAAAGGACTATATCAACTGTAACTGTAATGCAAGCACCCACACGAAACTTATGTTAACTGCAGTCATACTATTATAACTGCATAACTAAGTGTTCGTTTACCGTCTATTATAGTCATTGCCATTAATTATGCTCCCCACGTTATGACAAATGTCTTAATTATACCAATTGAAGTCCGGAAATTATTTAATTGCCTCGTTCCATGTCGGTACACCGCCGAATGAAGGTTCCACCGATTTTTTTGTCCTATTCAATGTATAAAAATAGTTTAGTTTAGCTTCGACGCGAAGCTGAAAAGATATTAATTTTACAATAAGGTGTTTTTTTTTTATAATTTAATTTGGCGCGCACCGTTCAAGTTTATAAGTCGAAGTAATTTTATTACTAATTGGGTTTGCCTTAACGTTACCGCCTGCGGATGTTAAACTGAAACATTTGTGTTTTATATTGATTGAAAGTTATGATTGAAGCTTGACCGAAAACCGAATTTAGATCTATTAGTATAAAAAAAAAAGTGATAGGATTTAACAGATTTCCTTTACTTTCACTTAACAACAACCAAAATATAATCGAATAAATAGTGGCGCATTTAACAGTGGCTGTCTTTAGAGAACCCAGATTTCTATAAAAGTTCTTTTCAAAAACTCGATCAAACACAAACTTAGTTTTCATGGTAAATACAATCTGTAATTACAGCTTTTCGAACTGTGAATTACTTTTGTTTTGCATTTAATGAACGTGTGAAGGAAACCAAAGAAACCTTTAAGTCGTTTCAAGTGTTTTAACTACCTATGCTATTTTTGGTTTATAAATTAACCAAGATAACTGAACGTGTAACTGAATTTTATATATTATTGTGTATATTAATAAATTGCAATTTATTGTTACACGATATATTAATAATATTTCATTTGTAATTAATTATTAACTTACCTGTTACCTCGTTCCCTATGTATTATTATTAATATTAATATTATAACAAGAGTTTTTCTGCAAAACTGGTTAAATTATATTGATTAAGTAGTTCAAAATATTTATTATGGACCTGCTGATAAACTTCAATTGTAACTATAAATCGTGTTAAACGATGTAAGTAATTGCTTTACCGCAATAAACGGTGGAATGGGTTTCATTCGCGGTAACCGAAAAATTCACAATCAAACGGTACCGATACAAATAATAATATTATTTCCCTGAAGCCGTTTAAGATCCGCTTTGTAGACGTAACAGTACAACAATACAGAAATTGCGCAAGGCCTACATACAAATGCTGGCTCATGTCTAAGATTAAATAATTATTGTCCGTGACTTGTGCGTCATTCGAACACCTGTGGTGACTTTGATCATAACATAGTGTTATCGTCTCAAATATGGTCAGTGAGGCTGTATCTGAATTTCCTTTGACTTTTTCCGAAGTTGAATAAAAGGGTGATTTTGAGTAAAAACATTTTTTTTAAAAAACAAAATCGTATAATTTTGCATATCAGACTTAAATATTGTACAACGTCTTTTTTTTATATTAAAATAAAGAAAATGTTTACAACTTAAACAAAAAATACAATAAGTAAATGGGCTGACTTTTACAACTGAACATGACGACGTGTTAGTCGACAAAGAAGATTGTCGGGTATTGTGTAAGAAGATAGCTTGGATATAGCGGGGTTTGAGTGGTCGGAGACGTTCTTATGGAATTTGTATAGTAGTAGGAAGCAAGAGTCGATTGCATTGGTATGTGTTAAGATCACGGAGCAGGGTTCGATTGCCGATATACCAAGGAGCATTTGTGATGAGGCGTAGGTTTCTTGATTGAAGGATATTTAAGTTAGAGGTTTTGGTAGTTGCCCAGACTCGCATACAACGTATACAATTTAATAATAAAAATTGTCCATCTCATAGGAGTTCTAACCGAAAATGTGAACATAGTTTCTCTTTTTTTCTTTTTGAAATGCACTAGTTGTGACCGAAAATTATGCAAAATATGTGTAATTTGTTTTAAATGTTTTCTATACCGTTTTTAGTATTTGGCGGCACGCGCTATTTTAGCACTTAACATCTTGTTTACCGTCGGCTAATAGCGTTCATCTTCGTTAAAATTCTGTTTTCCAGAGGGTGAGCATAATATATTAGGTTTTCTTTGGATTAGTCACGGTTGTACTGGCACGAACACAAACAAACAAAGTATAGTAATAACATACAACGAGTACACAGATGCTGTTGCTTCGGGTGGATTTGATTACCATTTAAACGGTCACAACGCTGGACAAAACACGAATTTTCTTATAAAAACCAATGACGTTAGACGGGTTAGAGCTTTGGTTTTTAAAATTGGTCAAAACTATATATTTTTTCTCTTTAAATTTTAGTTTCCACAACATTTTTGTTTTTCGATAATTACCCGTACTTTCTAGGAACAGCTTAACTAACGTTTTGTGCTGTGAATTTTAAGTAAACCAATTTTATAGTTAAACCACATTACACGTGTCCGCCACGCATAATAATATATTTTTTTACGGTTGAAAGTGTTTTGATCTGAACGTAACACATCTATCGTCACTGTTAGCCGCCCGCAACGTCGCATTCTATTTGTATACAGTTTATTTGCTTCGATATTATACATTCAGTTTAATTTAACAACTCGGTAAAAATAGATTTTAACATTGCGTTTAAAAAAATTATTGAAATTTTGACATCTGATAGTGAATAACAATAAATTCTAAAAATATCCGTATCACAAATGTAACACTAAAGCAAATTAAATTGTTCATTCTGACATGTCTATTACAATTTGAAATTTGATACCTATTCAATAGAACTAACAGTTTTAATGGAAATGTCATTTTGAGAAAATAGTCTTTTTTCTAGTTCGAACAATAAACGTTACAATTTATTTAGACTTACTTCTGTAACCTGTCATTATAATGGATTTTATTTAACTGTTGCTGTTATACAACGTTTGTCAAAAATAATCAATAGGCGAATCGCAAAAAAAAAACAGTTTTGATCTCAAAAAAACAATGTCAATTGTACGTGCATTTAAACTGATTCGTCTTTTAGAGAAATTGAAAAAGCTGATTTTCCACAGAGTTATAATTAAAAGTAATAATATAATTTCATACCGGACATGCTCGTGGTATAAAAGATATTTTAAATATTGAATGAATTATTTAATTTATAGTAAAATTATTGTTTAAACATGTATACAAAACATAATATAATATATTATTACCATACAGCAAACCAATATTAATGTTAATATTGTTAATATTAATGTTACCAAATTGTTGTGAACATTTATTTAGTAGTTTAAAACCATTAAACTATGTTTTGGAATGAGATTACATGTTTAAAAAAATTATATTAAACAACATGTTGTTATAATATTAGTCGAACATAGAAAATGTGATCATACTTTTAATTGTATTTGTAGTAACTACAAGTTGGGTGTAAAAACTAAAATGTATTTGTATTTTCTCAAGTAGACAGCGGGGCAAGTCATAGGCAACATATTGCCTATATTGGCCAGGGCGGCAATTACAAAGGCGACAATTATATTACAAAATGAAAATTTGTACAAATTAATGATTGAAAATGCGACACAATCGGAGTTTGCCTAGGCATAGACTGTAGGCCCACCGGGATACCGGGAAAATCCGATACGCCCTTTTTTTGGGCGACAACTTTTCGGGTACATTTATATACTATAGGTACAGTGTTCGCTACTCAACAAGTGAAAATATACACAATGGCTGAACCAATTGTATTACCTATTAACAAATATTAATTTTAATTATTTCTCCCGATTAAAAGAAAAACAAAATCTAAAAATTACAATAGCTTCCATAGTTGATGAATTATTTTTGTTTAACATATAATATTCTTCACGAAAATGTACGATTATATTTATATATTATACACATTTTATATTTATTTTCATATAGATTCCGTTTGAATTGAAGTTTGAAAAACATGTATTAAATATGCATGATATAAATAACACAAAAGAATACACTTTGTGTGGATATAAAAAGCCGTGTGTGCAACAAAACTTCCCACGAGTCGGGTCTCTTATACTTTTAAGTAACGTTGACCTCTTTTTGTACACTTTTCCGGTAACAAAATTTTACCCTATCCACCCGTGTGCCTAGGGCCTGTGGCCATTTCGACGTCTAGTCGTAGAACCGTCCGTAGAACGCGCAACAGTCGTGGCGAGGGCCCTATGAATGTGGTCTCAGTCCTAGCCATAACGCGCGCCAGTCTGGCCCTAACCGTGGGCCCGACGCCGTACGGTACAATGGCCAAACGGGCGCACCGTAGCCGCGTGTCCTCACGACACCGTGCACAACATAGTTCGGCACGTCGACAACCAGATGGCCTCGCCCGTACCCGACCGTCCGTAAATCGATATTATCCGTACGGCGGACGCGCCAAAGCACGAGAGAAACACACGAAATAATAAACTCTGCCATCTCACGCCGTATACGTCTTCCGTTCCTGTCGGTCGGATCCGGTGCAGGACGCAGAGAGGGAAGAGATCACCGCCGTCGCGTGGGGCAAAAGCGGTGGCACAAGTGTGTGTATGGTGCGTGTGTACTCGGAGCCGGGCTTGGGTGGACGAGGCGGCAAAGGGAAAGGGTGCGGGGGCGGGGAGGTGGCGGCGAGGTTCAAAACTGGAACCGTGGCGGCGCGAAAGGAGCGACTCTACCGGGTCCGTCCGACGCCGCCACTCACCAGTCACCGTCCTACGCCGTCCGCGAACGACGTCGCGTGCGCTGCCCGGTCTCGCCTCGCGTGTGTGTCTTTGTGCTTGCCGCCGTTTTGCTGGAAAGAAAAAAATGAATTAAATAAAATATATCAATCGCCGCCAAACGAAAAATAGCGATCGATAAGTTTACACAGTTGTCGTCCGTAAACAATATTATTTTAGTGCAGCGTGTGCCAAGACGACCAGCACAACCGGACCCGCCGATTATCGACATATTCCGGATGGATTGACACCGCAGTGGATTGGCAACGACCACGATACACACCGAATTATGACCAGGTACACATCGATACACGCATGGTATACACAAGCGTAACAATACCCTCCTGCAGAGTATATAATATTATCTACCTAACAATATATAGCTGTGCGGTCGACCCCTAGAGCGTGGTCGCGCGCGCTGGTATGTCTATGCAAATGGATACGACGACCCTTTAGGATACGAACGTCATGTCATTCGGTTATCCAATAGCCTGTTCCAACCATTGGCTATGTGAAATTACTGTATAATTTACATATTAGTGAATAATAGTGATAACTCAAAAATAGTTGTGGTTTTGTCAAACCAAACATTTTGAGCTAAATCGAGAAATACACCAAAAAATCAAACCTATATTATAAACCCTGTGGTTTTTAAACCTGACTTAACCAATCCGGTGGGTTTTTATTTAATCTAACCTGACCAACCCGATATTTTTCTTTTGTTAAAACCAATAAAGTGTCGGGTAAAAAACAAAAAATAAGGACTTTATCGAGCTTATACGTATACCAAAAAATAACCTAACTAGGTCGGACGTTAACTCGAGTTAAAAAAAATTAACTCAGTTTTTGAAGATTTTAAAAAGTACCTAATTTTGGAGTTGTAGTTGTTTGTTCTGTGGCCACAGATTATATAACCTTGAGAATGTATCAATAATATTATTATATTCGGTTAATTATAATTCAAGACCTGGTTAAAGCTTTAGCGGTCGTTTTATTCAACTATCAGCATGTCATATTTAGAGTTAGGTTGTCAGTGTCTACACACTACCAATAAGACCCATAATTTCGATTTAGTACCAAAGTTTTGCTGGATTTAAACAACAAAAAAACTCCACCAGCTTTTTTATGCCAAATGTGGTCGTATTAGTTATTAATTTCTACACGAGATTTAGAGCGTATATTAAATTTGCTTATTTGACTTGATTGTTCAAGATTTGTGTAAACTCTTAAAACATAAAATCACTGTAAAACATAAAAGAAAGAACGTCATTAATAAATTATTAATTATTGGTGCTCTCGAATCACAAACTTATAAGCGTTGGTGTACGGACACAGAGAGACTTTAATTGGTGGATACTTAACCTTAGAGAAGAAGTAGAAAAAAAAATGGCGCACAAACTTTTTGATAACGTTTTTTTACGGCCGCCCACGTTTAGTATTTCGACGATCCGTTTTTAAATTTAAATTTTAGAATTGTTTTGCGATCCGTGAAAGTATAACTACTACTCGACCGGTCTCTACGATTTGTTCCGTCTCGTTTTGTTTGAATTCTTCAAAACGCGGTCGTGGGTTTGTAAGTACGATAAATAAAACGCTCCGAACCTGTTTTCATACAAACTGCGCGCCCGAGTCTGACGTAAGAAAACCATAGGGAATGATAATAATAATAATATTATCATTATTGCTGCCAGTCGGTGGTGTACCCATGCCGTTTTAATGGTTCGGACGAGCACAGAGGCAGGGGAAATGGTATGGAAGAGATGTGTTTTGTCTTTTTAATTGGTAATCGTTTCTTCGATTTACTCGATATCTTGATCGAGGGCCAAGTCGTTAATCGTTCCAACATATTTTACAGAACGACCGTCGCGTCGGTCACGAAATAAAAACGACCACTTCTTCTCATAGGTATAATATCAACTTTTTAGACGTTTTGAAGAAAATTAAATTAAAAAACTGTTGATACTGTTTTAACGCCGATCGATTGCTGTAGCTTAACGCACAACCGCACAGTCGATTTGGAACACACTGTATAATATACGATATATTTTTTTTTATCATAAGACCAACGCAAACTGATCTTCATTTGGACAACGGCGGATAATATTATATTCTCAAGCCGGTACGCCCACGCATTTTCTAACCGAGTACTTATACCGGCAATGCCGTCCACTCGACATTATACTATGTAGGTACTGTTGCTGCGGTATAGTAATGCTCTCGAAGTAAAGTTGTTTCAGGTCTGCTGCAGATTTATATGTACATATATAAATATAAATTATTAAACACCGAGAAAATGTGGCAATTTTCATTAAAAAAGGGAACTAAAATATTAGCCCGTCGTTAGTCGCGCTGTTGGTCAAAACAACCGCATGAAGTTAATTGTTCAATTCAATTAAATAATTTATTGTTGTGTAGTTAGAACGGCTAGTTAATGCGAATAACGACGTGTTAATAATAGTATACCTACTTAAAATATTTACCAATAAAAATTTTTCTGGTCAGTAGTAATTTTTTGTTTTTAATTTAATAATTGTTGGATAGTACAACAATATTTTATTTTTTAAGCGTTGCTGGTTCATCCATAATATAATATTATATTATAATATCTAACGTATCGTACATCTATTTTAAACCGATCTTTTAGTACAGTCTTGCGGTATTTAAGCGACGATGAAAAAGAAACAAAGTATAGCTGTTACTAAATTTCAGACACATTGTCAGCATAGTGGCGGGTGGTTGTATTTTTATTTGACCAGCACTATAACGGCGGCGGTGATGGCTTTTGACAATTTGCCACAAACGCAAATAATAATAATTATCACGCGCAATACCGTCCGTGGGTGAAACACATTACGCCGTTCACACACGACACATATTGGCGAAAGAGCTCAGGTTTAATTATTATAGTAATAATTGTCCTAATCGCAGTTAAGTCGATACGTTTAAAAAAAAGAAAAAGGTTTTGATTTGTTAATTATGAATTTATAAAACCGATGTTGATTTCAAAGTGCACGTTGCACATTTTCTATTCGTGGTAGAATGGGAACTGAAATCAAGTCGGAAAATTAAACCCATCCGGGCCACCCGAAATTTTGAGTAGGTACCTACTAAAGAATTATTAAAAACAAAAAGTTATTATATAATAATGTTATACGTTGTGTTGACATCGGGTCTAAATTAGCAAACATAATATTATGTCAAGTATACTATGCATAAATAAGTGACAATATTTCATTAGTAAATATTTTATTTTTAACATAATTACAACAAAAAAATGTGAATAACAAATACAAATTTATTCGTTTAAAAACAATAATCATTTGCTCCATGAAATGAAAACTAATATGTTTTGTTTTGTAAAATGCTTAATGCAATTTATTTCACAATGCAAACGTTTAATTCTTTATTTGCTGCGGTATAGTTGTGTTTAACAAAACTATTGATGATTGTTCAAAATATGTCTCATACGCTCTTATTGCATTATCTAATCGTGTCTTTGTATAGAAAATGTATTTATGTGTGGTTGACTCTTAATCGGCCAGCTAGCGATTCGTGCTTCGCTTCTGATCTCATCGGTTCAAATGGTATTTGGTGCATTGTACGTCAATTATTGATGACAATAAAATTACGTTGTATATAATGTTGTTACTTATAGACCACAGCAAGGGCGAGGGTGGCATATACCTGTTTAACGTGTCCATATTTGTACGATGCTTTTGCGGTTATTGATTTTTGAAAATTAACCACCAAATTAGGTCGACATACGCGCGAGGGAGGACGTGGTTCGTGATATGTTCGTGTAGACCATAATATTGGTAAGCGTACAGACACTTCATAGTTCATCATTAGGTCTACAATTGGACGAGGAACCAGTGGAAAACATGTCACAACGTCGTCACACCTTTTTAGGTTAGGTCATATTATAGATATATGTATATATGTGTGTGTGTGTGTGTGTATGCGAATCTCATAGATCTCGTGTCGATGAGGCGTTAACAATGCTCGTGGATTGCCATTTTTATTTTTTTTTTGGCCACTTACTAACGGTACCTGTACACTTACACAGGTATACGCAGGTAATGTGTGTTTATAATAAGTAAGGGCGCATGCGGTGGCCGACAATTTATTAGTATAGTGCAAGGCATGTAAAACCGTGGCTGATCAAAATCCGATTGTCAGCACTGCGCCATAGGTTAGGTTCGGGTAATCGCAGTGTTTACCAGAGTTTTTTTTTTATGTGATAATTTAATTTCCGGGTCGACGGCAGTCAAAAACGGTTTTCGTCCGGCTACATTATTGAAATGGACAGAACTGTCGAAGGGTCGAAACCGGCGCGTCAAAATCGGTCAAGGGACTACTTTATAGGTTTTCCATCCGGCATTCGATTTACAGTGAATCATTGCTAGAGCCAAATTTCACAAATAGGGTGTGTCATTTTGGTCTTCGAATCCGACTAGACTGTCGGTTTGGTCAACTAAAACATCCGTTATTTAATAAAGTTGACGAATCGTCATGGCCTTCTTAATCTTAGTCTTAAATCACACCAGTAGTGCCGGCTACCCTAACCCGACCCAGTTTCTCTCACCTCTCCATAGACTACACTTGGACGCCTACTTCATTCCTCCTGTGCTGATTCTTACACTTTATTTTGTCACCTGTTCTTCCAGTAACTAATAAGGGCCGAATTAAACCACTCATAATGTTTAATGTCATAAGGCATTATAGGTTCCAATATTCAGAGAATTCGCATACAATAATTGTATTTTATCTCTAGAACAATCATCATAATATTTAATATCTAAAACTGTGTAAATGTATATATCGATACCTTAAAGCATTGTGTCCAATACCATATAACGAGCACTTGTGTGCTTTAAGGTATCGATATTATGTTTAAATATTATACGTCAAATTTTTTCATATAGCGACGAAAATCATAAAATAAAGAATGTATTTTTTTCATCTACCTACATACTTTATAGGTATAATTTTTGTAATAGGCTTTGAAAACAATTGGAGACGAATTTAAAATGTATAATAATATTATGTAGAGATATTATTGTGTAATCACAATATATTTTTTTCCATAATGTGTTGTAAAAATATTATAATGTTTTAAGCATATTATTATTTCTGTGGAGTGTAATGGAAGTATAAAATGTACTCAAATCGAATGGTTACACGCTTTAAATTTCAAAACTGATGTTCCGCTGGATGATGTTACCATATATAACGACGACTACTTCCAAATATTGTTATAAAAATATTATTCTTCCGGTTTTTTCCACGTTTTCATT